GTAGAATTAAATGCAGATGCAGTTGCAGAAGGTATGGATACTTGTGAGACCGTCAGTGTAAATGATCAGTGTGTAGCCCACCTATCATCAGATGCCAGTGCTAAACCTTAGCTAATCGTAAAAGACAGCAGTGGTGGTAATTCTGCAGTTAGACAAATTTATGAAAGTCGAAATTCAACAGATTCTGATGCAACGATAATTTCCTCATCGAGTATCAGTCATTCGTCGTTTTTGTTGTCATCCACAATGTAAAAGTCGCTCATCAACTCAAGTGCCTTGTGGAATGACTATGCTAGTATCAGTCAGTTTGAAAAGACGAAAGATATTGGTCAGTTTAGTGTGGATAATCCAAGTTTATGCGAGAGGTTTATCGTTAAACTGACTTTCACTATTAGGTGCATTTCAAGCTTCAAATAACTATTTGAATACTATTATCTTTGGTGTGATTTGCTGTGTGCTTACACTTGGTTGACCACGTACGTCGTATGTTTGTGGGTCATCTATATTCTGCGATACAATGGCATGGGCATGTCACCGTTGAGATTTGAGGATATAGCTGATAGAGGGAAGTCAGCAAATGAAATCTGCGACGATATTTCAATCTAGGGTGTCAACTTGAGGAGGGTTGTAGTCGTACTGGTGTAAGTCCTACAATTCTTCAAAAGGTAGCGCATCGGTGAGCAGCTCAACGTGCTTGGTGCGTTATTTTGCACATATGTTCATATTGTATGTACTGCCTTGGTATCATTTCCCATCTATCTGTTGATAATTTGTTCGTGTCCGGACGTCTTCCACTTGTATCATCAACATGAGAAGGAATGTAGGAGTATTGCTCTAAGTCCTACAGTTCCTCAAGAGCAGTTCATCAAGCCAGAGTCCACAAAGTTCGATGTATTGATTGTACATATGCTCGTGTTAAAAATAATTGTGAAGGTTCCAAGTACTGCAATTGTTGTTTGATCTTGCTTGTATCCGGACATTCTTCAACTTACAATCATCAACCTGAGAAGGGTTGTAGGCATACTGGTGTAAGTCCTGCGATTCTTCAAAGGAATTGCATCGAGACACGATCGGCGAGGTTGCTTGTACTGTTTGTATATACGTGTGGTGTGTCATATCGATTGGTGCTTTTGGATTCACTGTGTTTACCCGCCGTTTTCGTATCTTGTTGTTATTGCATAACTTTGTTAAATTTTTAATCGTGCTTACTTCTGAAGTTGTTTCGAGTCTTCCACATCAGTGCGTTGGTGGCACAGTGGTTAGGACTCTCGCCGACCATGCATATGGTCCGAGGTTCGAGCGCCCGCCGACGCACACTAGATATCTATGTTTGGTCTGCGAATTTCGGGCTACCGATATCCACGCTGAAAATTCCATACTTGTACCAAAAATACAGTGTGGAATCAAGCTGTAATCAAAAAAATAAAAAATTGATTGGTGTTGAGGACAGCAGATGGGTCGTATACGCCGGGGAGGCTATTGCTGAGAATGAAATGCATACGGAGATAATTGTTAGCTGCGGTCCGACACGCCGAGGAGAAAAAGTGTAAACGACTGAGGCTCTCATGCGTCACCGCTACTAGAACTGAGGCAGAATGAGTGACAAGCGATTGCAGTGGTAATTGGTAGTGAGTAGATACGAGGATGTGCGTAGAGTATCGTGAGGTGGTGCCATGGTCACGTTGCATTCTGCAAGAGTCATTCTAGCAAGTGGCGATTGCATTGGAAGATGTCAAGAGGATGCCTTTCACTGGAAGGCGAAGGTCTTAATCGGTGTGTGAGATTGTGCTGTGGGTGGTATGCCTGTGGTGTGTCGGCTTTTCTGTTTCTTTTCCACTTCTGCTCTGTCCGTGTGATCCAAGGTTCTCGCAATGGCATCCAAGTCAACGTGTGTTGGTCGTAATGTAAAACAGGGATGGATCCGTATTTTGCCGGGGAGTGTCAGTATGGTTGAAGATTGAACGATCAATTCATGGTTGTTTGCTCAAACCCAACTTCCCCATATTTTGTCGCGGGTGACCAATCTGCCAGTCATTGTCTCATCGTTCGCCGCTCAGAGGAAGAATAAAAGTTATCGGAAGTATTACCGTTATTTATTGTTACAACTTTTATTCCTAGATCTTCTGTATTAACATTATTCTTGTTTATGTATTGGTGTAAGAATAAAGGATTATTGAGTCGCCAATCAGTGTTCTGGTTTTTCTGTTGGTTGATACAATGCGTTTCTTAACGTCTTGAAATGACAGCGTGAGATCCAGCGTAGCGAGAACTGGACATTGACCGTTTATGATACTTGGCTGAATACTTCATAAACACTTTGTATTAACTTTGTATTAAGGAGGGAGGGTGGCGTTAGCTGATCAGTAGATATGGTGGGGGTCACTAAGGTGAATCGCCCCATTCTGCAGGAACAGCAATATACAAATTAAAGGCTCGAGATATTTCTGATTTTTATGAGGGCTTAGATCTTTATCTTGAAAAAGATAATAATGAACGCCTTGACAGATCATGCTTCTACCCTTAAATATATACCATTCGCTCAGCCTATTGTTGAGACGCGACCACGCGGGATCTGCACAGATTTATGGGGCATCTTATAAACTAACTTGCTGTCCATTGTATGATCTTTAAATACCACTTCACAATGTCGTATCTCATTCATTTTCCAATAACGTCTTCACTTGATCCTCATTATATCCCATTAAACCTAACATTTTACAGCTCTTTATGACTTATTATATTCCTACTCTCTGAAGGGTACGGTTGTACACTAAATGCACAAAAAGGTATAAAACAAAAACAACTGGCACAACTGAGGATAAATGTATTAAAACCAAAAGTGGACATCATGATAGTACGAGATATACGTGTAGCATTATACATTGCAAATGAACGTTGTCAGCCTAGGGAGTTTTCTTTATTAATGCATTTATTAATGATACTTGCACTTACCTATTTCATTACAATTTAATGATTCACCTCAGCACTTTTACTTTTCTAAAACAGCTTTCAATCCCTTGTAAACGTTGTACTTACCTCAATATTGTTTGGTTATCGTATGCCTACAACCACGGGATGAAAACGAAACGAAGTCGATTTTCCCGCTCAACCTGGAGGACAATTGTACAATTCAATAACTATACAGCCTAGTTCAGACAATGTGTATTTATATATATATATATCAAATATTTAACTGTTGAAACATTATTAACTTGTAGACAATCTACGATTTGATATTATATCATACTTGATCGTGCCTGTAAAAATGGCATGCATTTTCATGTAAATTTATATGTTTATATGAGAATATACATTATTATTATTAACCAGCGCGAAAACCAGAACACTGATTGGGGACTGAAGAATCCTCTATTCTTACCCCAACATGTAACCAACAACAAAGTTATTTCACAAGATTTTTCTGATAGATTTTATAACATCCCCTGGACAGCGAATGAAGAGACGATGACTGCCGGATTGATGACCCGCGACAAAATATGAAGGAGTTGGGTTTGGGCAAACAACCATGAATTGATCGTTCAATTTTCATCTACATTGACAGCAATAATAAAATCGGAAAGACACTATATTTTTTGGTTCAAGGGAATAAGTTAGCATTTGTGTAAATATCACAGAGATGACATGTATTGTATCCATTAACAGGAAGAATATTACTGGGTAACTCAATCAAAGAAGTATAAAGTTTGAAGATTTGATCTCTTTTAGTTAGTTGTGACGGATGGATGATAGTCAGTTGTATAATATTTGCTCTTTATAGATGAGAAAGTGTGACAGGTGATTTGGAAGTTCCACAATCCTTCCAATCTATCGTGGAATATATGGACGGCAATCTTAGAGTTAACTCCGTCGCTTTATGACTTTAGCTACTGGACCTAATGTGTGAGTAAAGATTTGAGTAAGTAAAAAGACTTGGGATGATATATGTGTCTGGAACAGAGTTACATTCTACACAAATTAGATATGAAATTTTGATAAATAAAGGGGTTATACAACTTATCTGCTTTGGCTGGTGGTGGAGTGCGCTGATTGAAAGCACGGCGAGAGAGCGAACCGAAAATGTACAGAAGAGCCAAAACTCAAAAGATGAAGTAGTGCCAGAAGTGGTGTGTGAGTTTAAACAAAAGTCCAAAGGTTCAATGTACACTACAGGCCGTACTCACTAGGCTTTCTATGCGTGCATGCGAATATATTCGTGTGTGGTTGTGTTGTGAGACAACCAGATGTACAAGTAATGCAGCACTAGCCAACAAACCATCTACGAACATCCATAGTTAACACTTCGAATCTCCACATAATTTTGCTTGTCGCTCTTGTATCTGCTACCCTAGGTCTAAGTAATACTCTGCAGATATTTACTTGTATTTATACAATCTGTTTTGACCCGCTTCATTAAGTTCTTTATCACCTGATAATTGTTCATTGGCAGTAATTTTGTCTTTTTGCCATTGTTATTACTGCATGATCATTCCCGTTATTTGTAATACTCATGCCTAAGTCTGACTTATTCCACTTACCAGATTATTTCTTTGTACTATTAACACCGTCTTTCACGCCATCTACATCACTTACTCCCCGAAGCGTGTACTTTTGTTGATTGTAAATACACAAACACTTCGCGAAATTATTTGATTCCGTTTTGTCTCATGTTTTCTTGAACATATGGCCATGAAAAAGACCCAAATAGAAGGATAGGAGCAAGTGTGGCTGTGCATGCACAATAAGAAGGAGTACATTTCACTATAAATCATACGGAGGTGGATGAATAAAGGCCTCTTGAGGCTCTTCCTTTCGCTATGTTAACCCCATTATCTGCTCTTAAATTTTAATCAACGTCTCACCAGCAATGAGGAAAACAATGAGTATCAGGAAGCCAATTGGAAAATTAAAACGTGTAAGCCCACCAAATATTAGCAGCTTTTTCCTTACCAACTGGAAGTAGAAGCAGATAAATGATTCTGGTTTATGAAAACCACCCGCCACCCATAGCATTCTAAGGAACAACCACTGTAAAGAAGATAGATCTTCTTCGCCGCAATCCACTTAAAATATAGGTCCACTTAATAGCAACAAAGAGCAAAAAAGCTAAAGTGCAGCAGGTTTGTTCAAGTTCGTTACAAGGTTACTGACGACTGGAAATGGGACATTGGACTAAAATTGAATAAATTTGACTTCAACGTTACTTATAAAGAAGTGGTATGTTTTTAACATATTTGTTTTTGCCTCACTACCAGTAGTAATTTCGTCACTTATTTCCTAACCAAAAAGTGCACCCTAAAGATTAATGCAGTATGACGAATTCCTTTTTATTTCCATTTTTTATTCTTGTACTTCGCCCTCGAGTGATCTTACGTCTCATTGACACCTCTTCCTTTCCGTGGTAAGATGTCCATTTTGTCTCTTATTGTCCATATTCTTCTCAATTACCCAATTTTATTTTACTATATGTTTAAATGCGCTAGTAATGGGTAAATTGCACTCTACCAATCGTGAAAGGATATTTTATCGTTGCTTGGGCATTATAAAAAGAATATAGTGTAGTCTCAGTTCAAATTTCACAGTAGCTAAGGATGCTAAATGTGCTGAACTAAAGTGGGGTTCTGCTTTGATCCTGGCTGCAAGATTCAACAAAGTTTATTGGGAAAAGAAGTTACGCTAATAGTGCTAATATCCTAAAAATCCACATAGAGTTTCGCACAGATGTATCTCAGTTTACTTTGTCACACTTCATGGTGCAAATATTACAGTCGCAAATTTCGGAAGTTCTTTGATAAAATGTAGATACTTCATCATGATGTGCACCCATTCCGGGAATGTCTCTATGTTCGACTTTTAGAATACTAAAGTGTTTGTCTGTTTACTTAGTGGTGCAATAACAAGGCGACTCAGTTCTTTAAAATTTGTCTATTCTAAACGGCTAATATGAGAAATTAAAGTAGCTGCGCTTTGGGATTATCGTCCAATAGCGTGACAAAGAATCTTAGCGGCTTAATGATTAAATGTTTCATTAAGATGCATCTTATATCAGACAAAGAGTTCATTTCTGTTTGTTACTTATAAAGTATACAGTTTAATAAGATGGCAATCAATTTCAGTAGTCCTAAGCTTTGTTCCCCAATCTGTTTTTAATAAGACAAAGTCTTTGCTCGTGATTGTGTTTGTAAAATTCGTATCGTAACACGTATGAAAATAATGTCTGTAAGACTATCTTTATAGATTCATATCTATTCTTTAGCTATTCACAGTAATTGTTGTATGCTATTCATATTCTTCATTAGAACTATTCACTGTGGATCTTCAATTCCTGGAAATGTTTGCTGCCTTCCAAACTTAATTGATCTTCATTTTTGTAAGGGTGCATAAGTATTAGCTTATTTTCATAGATACTTAAAATAATCAAGTGTTTTTTTCAAGTAATCATTAATGGTCATTCTTACTTTTCTTGTCGTTGTTTGAAAAGGAAGCATTTTGTATCTGTATAGCCTAATAATGCTTCACACTGGCTCGTTTATATTTAAAGCTTTAAAAGTTGGAATTATATGCATTAACATATTGACTTGACTGTGAAATATAATTATGTAGGTAGTTTATAACGAAGTATATAGTATTTAGGTTTATTTTTAAAGTTACTCTGCTGATATACTTTTCCGATTGCCTATGATATATTTATTAGTCTCTGTGGTTTCTTTTTCTCATTTGACATAGTCGGTCATGTACTCAAGGATGCGTGAAGGTAATCAATAATTTATGCCTTTTTCAATGTGATGAAAATTATTTTTAGTAGGTCAAAGATTTTACTGCTGCTCTAATCGTCGAAAATGTCGGAATAATATAGCTTTTTGGTAATAAATAAATATTTGGAAAAAGAAGCATATATTTGTACTGTTTCAGGTGTTTCGGTCTTGGCAATAATTTTTCCTATGTGATAATGTTAAGCGCAGCGGTGGATATTATTCGAAAACAGGAAAATGTAAGATTTCTCTTTGGTGATAGAGGTTTTTCACTTTTATGTCTGTATAGGTTTTAAAATTAAAATTCCAATGTCAGTTGTACTTTATGACTTAATATTTGGTGCATATTAGTTAGTAAAATGTGTCGATATTTCACTGGTAGGATGCTCACCAACCAATACACGTGCTCTGTGTCAGATTCCTGGCTAATGCATTCCTAAACCTCGCTTGTCTTGGGAGTCGAGAGGGGTGTTTTATTAGAGCTTAGCTTTTAGGAACTAAGTTAACAGACTAAAATCCTAAATATTAGTCTAGATTTTGATCTGTAGAAAAGTGATGGCAAGTTAATTGATAAAATCGTTCACATACCTCATCACTCACTTCGTTTGGTATAGCTTATTGGCTAAATTTAGCTTATATATGAGGAAACTAAGTGTGTAATTGATCAAAACATGACATCAATCTAAAAAGTGTCTAATTGTTGATGTGAATAACAATGAAAATAACAATTTTCTTATAACTGAAAATGAAAACAATGAAGGGAATGAAAACAAAAAGAAAAAACAGAAACGGAAACTAAGGAGTCAAACCGAACTAGACTCATGGTAAATGTAGAGGTTTGACTAGTTCCTTTTGAACACTTACCTCCAGCTTTTCGATGCCTACGGAGAGGACACATTCATCCAGCTTCAAAAGGTATCAGTACTTGATAATAATAGTAATTATTATAACTTTCAGGTAATTTGGAAGAATACTGCATAGAAGACTACTTGAAGATGATGTGATCACAGTCAGCTAGTTCAAAAGTATCTCCTATAGAAGACTGAAGTTCTTTATTCCCAGCTGGTTTTAAAATTCACCCTTGTCGCTTTCTCACTATGCGTATAGTTGAGTGTATAGCCATCCTGAAACATGTTTCGGTGGTTTGGATATGTGCCAAGAATGGTCATCCCGGAGGCTCTCGTTCCACTCGCTGTTCGGTAACTCTGAAACTAAATAGAAAAAGTCGGAGGGGAAAAATCTATGACTTGGCACCGTAGGATGAAGAATAATTGTGTTATGTTAGTATCCTGTGGAAAGTTGTAACTCCTTGGTGGGTGCGTGTGTGTGCTGCCCGACAGGTAATTTGAATTGGTGGCTCGAGACGTTATTAGATACGGCCAAGAATCTCAATCGAGAACTAATATGCTACAGTTTGCGTCTGTTCTTTGCTTCTTTTCCCTTTCTGAAAGTAACATGGAGTGATGAATGCTGGATAGCCTTAACAAGTATGATTATTGGCTTTCTGAAGGACATCACTCATTTATTCTACCCTTATTTTACTTATATATTGTTGCTATTTTATTATTTTTATGTGGCGCATTTCTTGCTGCCCATAATGTGCCAATTTTGTGTTTTTAATAAATTTAATCGATAGTCACCGAAAATAACCAATGCATCATCAAGAAAATCGAAGACATTTCAGCGAAGAAAATTTTCTTTATCAGAGAAATAATCTTCATAGGCTGTACAGTCGTATTTATATTTACCAAAAATGTATAGTAATCGATTACTAAGTAATAGGGTGTGTGTGACATAATTGATGTAATTACTCAGAAGTGGCTTTAGCAGTTATTATAAAAGTTGTAAATTACATAGTACTCAACAGCACAAAGGAAGAGAGGGTTAGATATTTGATAAAGTTAAAGGTAGTTGAGTTTCAATTTAATAAGTGTAAAAAGGGTGAGGAAATGTACGAAATAAACATATGAGAGTGATAATAGTGAATTAATTTTTAAAGTAAAAGCAAACTAAAAGTAAGATTGAAAATTAACGAATAAAAAATAAATTTTCTTTTTACAGGGAACGACTAGTGAAGAGCTTAAGACTATGGTAGAATAGGAGACTGGACAAACTTCTTCTGTATACAGAGTTGTATTGACGAATTTCCAACGCCTCCACCATACACAAATGTTGAAACCTGACGGCCTTTGTATCATTTGGCCTCACCTTGTAGATGATGTTAATAGACGACTCTGGTGGAGCTGCAAGGCTTGAGTTCTCCAAGTACTCGAGTATTGAGCTAGTAACTGTCTTACATTGCCATTTTGCTAACCAACCATGCCGGATAATGTTCACAGATGCGTTTAGAAAGTGTGTGCGCTTTGTGCAGCCAATATGACTAGCTCCACACGAGCAGGTGAATTTATAAACACACATTGAAGTGGCCTGAAGGGGCGGCAGTTTATCCTTCACACATCCACTGATCATTTGTCAGCTGTAGAAATTGATTCGTAGCTCAGATACAAAGAAGGCTTTTTTCAGTGATCGGCATAAACGCTTCTTCAGGATCTTAGCTGCGGTGTCACCCCTTTTAATTCAGCGTTCATAAAAGGCAGTTTCTTCAGCTTTTGCTTTAATTTCATGTTTTTCTTCATGAATCTTGGAAGATATGCATTTTCTTTGAAGATTTTTGTGAGTCTCTCCAATTCTCCGATAATCAATATACAGGAGAATGATACATTGGCAGGATTGAACGTAACGGAGGTTATTGCGTCTGTGAATCTTGATCAAACTGTATAGATACCACACGTTTTTATAGAATAAAATTATTTACAATTAATAGTGCTCGTTTTGCGAAGCTTTGCTAGATTAGATATCATTCATTTTGCAATTTTTAATCTCATCTGATGAGAAGTCCGCTACAAATTTGTTTTCATGGCACAAAATGGATAAAATTTTACGAGTTGATCACGCATTGATATCAGTTAGAGAACCATTGGAAACCAGGGAGTGCTGGATAGCCAGCTGTTTCATCCTAGTTTGGGAATTATCGGCAGTATGCACCCACTACAAGGAGTTCATGTCCAGGACCTCCCGGTTACAAGGCCAGCTAGCTGGCTCGTATACCATTCAACCACAGGGACTCGATTCAGTGACCATCCCATGAATTCTAACTTCTACCAACTCGTGATTTAGCCTGACCACCGACCAATGTCACCGGCGAGAAACCCATCCTCACACTTGATTGGTGGTCGGGCTAAATCACGAATCCGTTGAAGTTAGAACTCATAGGCTGGCCATAGAATCGGGTCCCAGTAACTGAATGGTATACGAGCCAGCTAGCTGGCCTTGTAACCGGAAGATCCTGGGTTCGAACTTCCTGGGGTGGGTGTGTACTGTCAATGATTCTCAAACTAGGATGGAACAGCTGTCCAGTACTCTCTGCTGGCTTTCATTGGTTCTCTAACTGATATCAATCCGTGGTCAAACTCGTAAAAACAAATCCAATCCTTACAAACCAACTATTGCCAACGCTTTAACTTCACAGGTGTTCACACTTGTAACCAGTCGTGTAATCCTGTATTAGGCTTTACAATAAGTATATAGGCTCTGTCACACTATCCATGTTTATTTGGTAGGTCAACTATTTGAGAAATATCCTCCTTTTATTCATGCTTATAGTTTGGTATTTTTGAAAATTCATAGTTCGTTCTGTTTTCTTCTTTTGTCTATTTTAGCCTGAAATCAAGTCTACTTCAAACGTTACTGAGAATCGTATAAACTGTACACAAATTGGGACTGGTGTAGGTCCTATCGTCGTTTAAAGATATTAACTCTATCCTTAACATTATAGAGTGTTCTACTGGCTGATATACTTCCCAGTATGCTTTTCAAGTTTATTGCTCCAATGTTTATACAGAGGCTTCATTTTCAGTGAGTTTATTTATTGTAATGAATTCAGTAAAGGCTGGCAGTAGTTTTAAATATTTTGATTCCCATTGATCATTATCTTTTGAATGGAATGTTTGCTAAGTGTGTAACTGCATAGTCTAGAAACAGTATTATATGCTAAATGTTTAGAATATTTTATTGATCTCAGTCTATCAGGTGGTTTTTTTGTATTCCTGTACGTTCCCAGTATCGGAACATAGGTTGGCTTCAATATAGAGACTCGAATTTTCAGTAGCAGTGGTGCTTATTTTTACGGGATGGAGTTGCCAGCCTCATGTCCAACCTTCCCCCTTTACCAGGCTCTTTACTGGCTTAGCGAGGTAAAGGAGTGCGTTGGTGGCCGGTGATGGAATCCCGGACAATATGCATGTTCGGCGAGCATTCTATCGCTGTGCCTTGCGACACACTTTTCACATAATGATACTTCATCATAGATGTGTTAATGGACTTAACCCTAGGTGACTTCAGCGATTCAGGGATTGACTTGCTACCAGGGAATAATCTCGTTGACTTGGAATATGCAGACGATATAGTCCTTCTAGGCGAGGACGCTGACAAAATGCAGAGTCTTCTAAACACATTGAACAGCAATCTACGAATGTTTGGCATGCGATTCGCTCCCGCCAAATGCAAGATGATGTTACAGGACTGGACTACATCGACGCCTAGTTTAAAAATAGGGAGTGAAGTGGTAGAGCACGTTGACCGCTTCACTTATTTGGGAAGTACCATCAGCCCTAACGGGCTGATCTCTGACGAAATCTCAGCACGAATACAAGGGGCTCGTTTCGTTTCGCATTTGTTAGTTTACGCCGTCTCTGGCGTAGACGAGATGTTCGACTATCGACCAAAGGGCGGGTGTACTGCTCATCAGTCCGCTCCGTCCTCCTTTATGGTTGTGAGACCTGGCCACTCAGAGTGGAAGACATGAAAAGCCTGACCAGCTGTCTTTGATCATAGGTGCCTGCGTTCTATTTCCCGTGTAAAGTGGCATAATAAGGTGAGCAACATGGAGGTTAGGCGTAGAGTTCTAGGTAAACAGGGGAAATCAATCGACGAAGTCGTGAAGCTACATCGACTGAGATGGTTAGGACATGTGTTACGTATGCCAAGTCATCGCCTCCCTCGACGAGCAATGTTAGCGGATATAGGGTCAGGCTGGAAAAAAGCTAGCGGCGGTCAAACAAAAACTTGGCATCAGTCAATGAAATCCACAACAGTTGGTCTAAGCCACGTAGGAAGGTGTAGACTTCCAGGCTGGGGTCCTCGGGACGGTAAAAATCTATGGTTGGAAACAATTGGTGACATGGCTCAAAATCGTTCTCAGTGGCGCAGATGCATCCACTCCCTGTGACTTATGATCTCCAATGAAACTGTTTTGTTATTCTTTATTACTCCTTTGTCTCACACCTCTGCTCACTGTTTCTATTATGCTTTTCTTGTACTTTCTTCTCTTGCTTCGCGTGCTACACGGAATGTGGCGAATTGAACTTCCGCACATTTGTGCAAAGTTCTATGTCGAAAACAGACAGACAGACATAATGATACACCCACTGACTGGGTATTGGTTTTCAGGAGAACCGAACACACCTATCCCTGCCTCTTGCAAGATGAGACCGGCATGCAGTATCATCATGTGGTGCAACCACTCGAGAGGCCTCTCCCTCGGTGTTTTTAGAATAGGATAATCATAGCTTTGATCTTTTGATTATTAAGTTCGATACTGTTATTGGACATAAAGGGAAATAGCTTTTCCTTCAAATTTGCTAGTTGGTAGAAAGGTCACCTTAGTGAAGATTTCATCCTTTACTATAGTGCTTGAAGTTGTATAGCCATTTATGTAAGAAGCATCACTCAGAAAAGTCTTGTGTAAATGGTCTCAAGCAGTGTTTCCCATGGCTCTGGGGTTCTAGTAGGAAGCCGTGATCAGCAGGGTACAGCAGGTTGATGGTGAGGCAGTATCTCATCGAAGAAGACATTGCGAAGTGGTCGCGCTATGTTGTGCATTGGCAGAAGTTAGAATTAATGGGCTGTCCATTGGATCGGGTCCCAGTGGCTTAATGGTCTACTAGCTAGCTCGCCATGTGTCCAGAAGGTCGTAGGTTAAAACCGTGGGAGTGGATACGTATTGACAAAGAGTCCCAAACTAGGCTGATGAAACAGATGTCCAGTACTCCCTGCAGGTTTTCCAATGGTTCTCTAACTGATGTCACCTCATGAAGAAATCCTGTAATCAATCAATCAAATACCTACAGAACCAATACTTGAAAATCACTATTAATAGTTACGTTGAAATACTTGTAATGTATATATATATAATCTCATTACATTTATTTGTAAACCAAGATTCAATTTCGGTAAATTAACTTACACCTACATATTCTCTATTTTATTCACCTGAACAGTTTTAAAATCATTTGTGCCGTTCTCCTGGCTGTTAATAGTTTCCTGATGGTCTCTTTCTCGCAGTCGTTTTTTGTGAGTCTTTTAGGTAAGTCTCCTCTTTTATCGTATAGCAACTGCTTCCAACTCTTTTTCCTGTCAACATCTTGGTTTGATACTATGTTAAAAATACAATGACATCTCAGTAATACCGACGTTTGTGGTTTTGATTACTGGGTGGGCAAAGTTAAACTCTAAGCAACAGTAAATACTAACGAGCAGATGACCTTGAATGCATCAACTAATATGATAAAGGCGATTTCTGCGTATAAAATGCATTTATATTCATGCAAAATAATGGAGTAAAAGGTATGACACTGTTATGAAGGATACACCTTTCTCTGATGTGTGGCAAAAATACCTCTTAGTTTTGGATTGGACTATCAAGAGATTAATTTGCCTACATTCTGTGCATGTAATTATCTAGTCTTCTAACCGTAACACTAACTTTAATCTTTCCTTAACCTAAATTTAACGTGAAAATATCCTTAAACTAACGCCAATCCAACTCAAACCAATTCTTATGTCGCCCTCATCAGGTTAACCTAACCCTAACTTGTCCTTAGCCTAAACCTTAACTCAGTCTTTCCCATGCCTATCCTTAAACTTGTCAGATATCCCATTTAATAGCATAACACTTCGATGAGCATATTTTATTCATAATTACAATATTATCTATCAGATTTCACTAACTTGCTGACTGAGCGTTTCAAGGTCATTGGTGCGTGCGTGGTCGCACTCCGCCGGTGACTGGCTACCGTGTGTTCGAGATTCAGTGAAGACACCTGTTCCTTCATAGTTGCAGATACACCTTACTTGAAGAGAGTGCCAACAAGTGCTCCTACCGATTACCTCCAGCCTCCTGATATACTGGTTAGCTTTCCTACAATTTCACTCATAGTTTGAATTTAAGTTTTGATGGTCAGTCAATAGTTGCATCTATGAGAGTGTGCAGTTTCACTTCGATTTAATTGATCATATTAGATAATTTTTTCTAGACTAAGAATTATTTCAAATAAAGTATAATTATATTTTAATAGTTTACACACAATGATAAGTTTTGTTATTGGTAATATTTCGAGCAAAATTACTGCCCGTGTTCACACCACTATTGGAATTGTTTTATTATTTCCTTAACTGAGATATCTAATTGTAACGGTTAATGGGGAAGTTGTATTGAGTTGTATTCTATAATTTTTTCTCTTGCATTTTGAGCGAAACATGCGGCTTTATTGGCACACGTTCGTTAGACTTGATTCTCTCTTTATCACTCTCTTTTATCACTTCACGACTTTCCAAAAGCTTCGATTTCCTCTTCACATGCTCTCCTTCATGTCACTGGCGGGCTCAAGCTCAACTCATCACTCTTCCTATTTGGGTTCGACTTGAGGATATACCTGCCGATAGACTGAGATCAATAAAATATTCTAAACATTTAGCATATAATATTGTTTCTAGGCTATGCAGTTACACACTTAGCAAACATTCCATTCAAAAGATAATGATCAATGGGAATCAAAATATATTTAAAACTACTGCCAGCCTTTACTGAATTCATTACAATAAATAAACTCACTGAAAATGAAGCCTCTGTATAAACATTGGAGCAATAAACTTGAAAAGCATACTGGGAAGTATATCAGCCAGTAGAACACTCTATAATGTTAAGGATAGAGTGAATATCTTTAAACGACGATAGGACCTACACCAGTCCCAATTTGTGTACAGTTTATACGATTCTCAGTAACGTTTGAAGTAGACATGATTTCAGGCTAAAATAGACAAAAGAAGAAAACAAAAGGAACTATGAATTTTTAAAAATACCAAACTATAAGCATGAATAAGTGTAGGATATTTCTCAAATAGTTGACCTACCAAATAAACATGGATAGTGTGACAGAGCCTATATACTTATTTTAAAGCCTAATACAGGATTACACGACTGGTTACAAGTGTGAACACCTGTGAAGTTAAAGTGTTGGCAATAGTTGGTTTGTAAGGATTAGATTTGTTTTTACGAGTTTGACCACGGATTGATATCAGTTAGAGAACCAATGAAAGCCAGCAGAGAGTACTGGACAGCTGTTCCATCCTAGTTTGAGAATCATTGACAGTACACACCCACCCCAGGAAGCTCGAACCCAGGATCTTCCGGTTACAAGACCAGCTAGCTGGCTCGTATACCATTCAGTTACTGGGACCCGATTCTATGGCCAGCCTATGAGTTCTAACTTCAACGGATTCGTGATTTATCCCGACCACCAATCAAGTGTGAGGATGGGTTCCTCGCCGGTGACATTGGTCGGTGGTCAGGCTAAATCACGAGTTGGTAGAAGTTAGAATTCATGGGATGGCCACTGAATCGAGTCCCTGTGGTTGAATGGTATACGAGCCAGCTAGCTGGCCTTGTAACCGGGAGGTCCTGGACTTGAACTCCTTGTAGTGGGTGCATACTGTCGATAATTCCCAAACTAGGATGAAGCAGCTGGCTATCCAGTACTCCCCGGTTTCCAATAGTTCTCTAACTGATATCAATCCGTGGTGAACTCGTATAAGCTCAATAGGTTCCCTAGTGATTGGCTGCTTGCCGAAATTCCTTTTTGCTTAACCTTTTTGGCCAACCATTTATTCCTCAGTATGGAGCCGAGGCAGGTGTTGGTAAAAGTCTCGCGTAGTCTGTGGGAAATGCCTTCGGTAAAGGACGCACCAAGAGTCTTTGTTGAACCATATATTTAGTTGTATATTATTATTTATTATTATATCCTCTAATTTCTAGAGGAATATAGGGCTTCAGCTGCACATCTTGAATACCTTCGGTTTTCTGCCAACTTTTTCACCCCACTCCAAGTCTGCCGACATGCTTTCATCTCCTCTTCACATGACCTCCTCCAAGTCACCCTTGCACTGACGACAAACTTCACCACTTCCCTTTCGGGTTCCACTTGAGCCATGGCTTGTCTAGTGATGTCATTTGATGGTTTCCCCAGAGTATGGCCAATCCATCTCCAGTTCTTCCTGCCTATTTGTTTCACATTCGGTTCCTTGTTGGTTCGCTGATTGCCAGAGATCCCTGTTGCTGATCTTTTCTGGCCAGCCATCTGATCTTGAGTATTGAGCGAAGACAACTGTTAATGAAGGCCTGTAATTTGTTTGAGGTGCTGTTTATGACGCGCCAAGTCTCTGATCCGTATAGTGAGTAGTACTAACTGACTTCAAATTGGAGTTGAAAATCCGGATCATATTTCCATTGTCATGCTGAGTGCTGTTGACCTCCACACAGACTTAAGAGTAATGAAAGCTTGCCTTGCTTTTCCGATTCTGGCTTTGATATCCTCGTCAGTTCCGCCTCTAGCTGAAACGATGCTTCCCAGGTAGGTAGATGAAGGAGGTTGTTTCTTTCAGGTTCCTCCCATTTATGGTGGCTGATTGTTGTCTGTTGTTGTTGTTGCTGTTGTCCAGGAGTCTTCATCACCTCTGTTTTATCTATGTTTACCTGAAGTCCTATCTTTGATGCTTCTTCTGCCAACTTGTTGCTTTTCGCTTGCATATCTTCCAGTTTGTGGGAAATCAGACATATATCATCGACGAAGTCCAGATCCTCGAAGTTTTGTGTGGGTCCATTTTATGCCTGTTTCTTCATTACCCAATCTACTGCAATCAGGAAGATCATTGGCGATAGTAGACAGCCTTGCTTCACTCCCGTCCTCACTTCGAAGGCTTCCGTAAGTTTTCCGTTGTGGATTACTTGGCATGCAGCATTGTCGTATAACTGTTGGATGAGATGTATAATTGTCGATGGGACTCCGTAGTAGCGAAGTAGTTGCCAAATGACCTCTCGATCGACACTATCGAAGGCCTTCTCAAAGTCGATGAAGCTGAGATAGAGAGGTGACTTCCATTCCAAGCTTTGTTCAATGATGATCCGTAGAGTGGTGATTTAGTTGTATAAGGTTGCCTAAATAACCTTCTGGAATGACATATTAAAGTATTTAGCTTTCCCCTGTTATTTGTAAGAATGAGTATTTATTATTCCCTTGTGTTTCGAGTAGAACATAGGGCTTCAAAAACACATCTACACTTTCTTCTATTTTCTGCCATCCTCTTCAGATGGGTCGACGATTGCCTATAATTTCTCACCTCACACAATCTCCTCCATTTATTTTTCGGACGACCTATTCGTCGCTTTCCATTGGGATTCCACTCGAGCAATGGCCTGTATTGCGCACGATATCATTCGACGGCCTTCTTTACGTATACCCGATGCATCCTTGCTTTCTCCTACATATTTGTTAAGTGATCGGCTCTTGGTTGGTTTGTTCCCAGCCAGAGTTTCTTGTTGCCTATTCTTTCTGGCCGGCTGGCTGGCTGGCTGGCCATATGATCTTCAGTATGGAGCCAGCGAAGGCAGCTGTTGATGAAAGTCTGAAACCTGTTGGGAATCCTTTTCGTGACACGCAGTGCAAGTTTTTGACCCGTATAGAAGGACTAACCGACTTCACATTTGTGTTGAAAATCCGAATCTTGTTGCTTATGCTGAGTGTGAAAGATTTCCAAACTGGTTTCAGGGTTGATAAAGGTGTATCTTGCCTTTCCGATTCTGACGGTTGACATCTTCGTCTGTGATGTCGCTTGTAGTAGAAACGATAAGTGAAGGAGGTAACCTGTGTTAAATCTCTCCCGTTGATAGTGATTCGTGCTGGTTATTGTTGCTATTGATTGGTTATCTTCATCGCCTCCGTCTTCTCTGTGTTCACCTGCAGTCTTGTTTTCACTGCCATCCTCCTCAGCCAGTTTGTTGGTTTTTGTTTGCAAGTCTTCAAGTTTGTGTGACATTAGGCATACATCATCTACGAAATCCAGATCTTTTAGAGTCTTCTTATCGGTTGTCCAGCATATTCTTGACTCTTCGCCCCCAACAGTCTGACGCATAATCCAGTCCACCACGTTTAAGAATACCATCGTGGGTGATAATAGGCAGTCAGCTTGTCTTACTCCCGTATGCATTTCAAACGCCTCTCTGAGTTTTCCGTTATGGATCACTTGATATGTGGCATTGTCAAATACTTGTTGAATGAGGTTAACAAAGACTTGAGGTACACCGTAGTGTTGAAGTTGTTTTGAAAATCACTTCTCATTCTACGCTTTTAATATTTGTTTCCTTTTGTGTGTATAACTTCTTATCATTGTTGCAATAGTAGATTTGTAATTCGGATAGGTGTTTTTCAAGCTGTTTTACCCCCTTAATTGCTTAGTATAATTGCCAAGCTTTCATTATCTTCTTAGGCAACAACCTAATTGTGAAGAACAATTTGAAAACTTCATGATTCAACTATCTTATCATTATGTATATGTTATTTTTGTTTTTCCCGACCGATAGCTGTTACCTTGACGTGGTGATCGTGCTAGTCCATCGCAATGATCCAGTAAGCTACACTGGCTGAATCTGTCGTTCCTGGAGGTCTTACCATGCCAGGAACGTTGTTAGGATAGCGATTAGACTAAAAGCAGTTACCGGAATAGTGTAAGAATGGCTTTTATACTATGCTGGGGGTCTGTGGGCGATGTTGTACTGCTGGGGAACAGGGATGTAACAGTGGTAAGGTGTTTCACACAGATGACCAGCATTCCAGCCGCCTATGCTGTCTCTCCACTCTGGAGGGAGGGGTTCAGAAAGGGTCGACTCCAAAAATAGTACATCCCGACTTACCCTACGGTGGTCCGTAGCCGGCGGTAAATTTACTAATTCTGAACCAATCCCAGAAACCAGTTCATACAGGCCGTGTGTGATCGGTCTGAAGCAGTTGTCCCCTGGGCTCTGCGATCACACAACATTAACCCTATTTCTGTTTCAGTTACCCTAAGAATCAACCAACTTCTACGGTGGGTCAGCCGGTAAGGGGAAACTGCCCACACACACTTCCAAAAGCACATAAAGCCTTCCTGACCATCCTCCTCCTGTATCCCACTCCTGTTTTGTTGTTAATAATCTGACAGCTCTTCACTTTTGGAGATCTCATTGTTGTTCACTGCTGAAGAGTTGAAAACTGGAAAGAAAATGTCTATCCGGTGTTTTTCGTTTTTAAATACCTCTGTGATTGGTGTTTGTTCATGATAAAGTCTTTCGTCGGAAGTAAACTTACAGTCTATTTATTTTTCCCTCTTTTAGGCATTGTATCTGCAAGTTTGTCATCGGGAATAGGAGATGTCAGTTTTCTAAGCATGTTAGCATTCTTCGACAAGTAAGTCATTTGACATATATGATGTATATATGTAGCTTTCCACTGTCCTATAATAAGCATTTCATAACATTTTCATATCTAAAAATGGCTTGGCGGTGTAACAACTGTGAAGTGTTTCCCTCGGGCAACCAGATATGCTGCCTTGATGCTCTGTGAAGTAGTAAACAGGGTTAGAAAAGCTCTCTCGCCGAAATTGTACATCTCGCTATACCCTGAAGCAGTCCTTGACCGCCGGTCTATTCCTGGGCTCTGCGGTCACACAACACACACTAATCAACTTCCTGGATATGGAAATCTTGGAAGTATCAATTACGCTGTGTGTTTTCATTAGCACACAAAGTATTTTCTTTTCGTATGGCTAAATGATATTGATATTAATTTGTATTTTGTTTTAGGAGTTGATTGTCCGCGTACTTTTGGGCATCTGCTGATGTGAGGAATTTACGACTATCCTATCCTCGTGTAAGGCTGGATTATGCATAGAACTCATTAGCCTACATGACAGCTCTTAAAATTATGCATTGCTAACTGCTTGCTCAAACTTAACGATGAGATATAAAATTTTATGTATTTTTCTTTCAATGACCAAGTGATTTAGTGGATGGTGACCGGCGATGGAATACAGGATGCACATTTCTCCCTATTTGAGACTTGTCAGCCGGATGTACCTGCATTCCCCAGTGAGTGATAGTGTTCCCACTGAGAATTGACCACAGTACACATCGTTGTAAATGCCAAAGCGTTATCCAGTTAGACTACTTGGTCCACAAGAGCCATACCTTGTGCACTCTGGGTATGAAATTTACTTCAAGTTAATCTTCAAACATCATTGAAGTGTCTGTACTAGTAGCCAACTGGTTATAACAAAGGCTGAACATTTCTGTACAATAAATCAGTCAACGGGAAAATCAAAATTGATGAATAAATAAATAATTCACCAATTGGTTTATTTTAATTTTAATTTACATTATTGAATTAGTTGTGTTTTCTGAGCTGGTTGATTCCTTTCGAGAAGCCCTTTCGTTGTCCACCTTTATAGATAGACAACATCTTCAGTGCAGGTTTTAGTATAAAATGAATTCAGTTGAATTATCCCTCCATGAATAATGATATAATTTTTTCTCTTCTGACAACCATTTTTCTAATATTATTATTATTCCCCGTGGGTTCCGAGTGGAACATAGGGCTTCAATAACATATCTACACTTTCTTCTTTTTTCTGCCATCCTCTTCAGCTGGGTCAACGATTGCCCATAATCTCTCACCTCTTCCTCACACAATCTCCTGCATGTCACTTTAGCACAATCCACTCGTCGCTTTCCACTGGGATTCCACTCGAGCGATGGGGGGAGTGAATTGTGCGCGATATCATTCGACGATTTCCTCAGTTGTCCATTTTTGATCTTCAGTATATGGAACCAGCGAAGGGCGTTATCGATGATAAAAGACTGTAACTTGTTGGGAATCCGTTTTCGTGACACGTCTGCCTGGTGTCTGACCTGTTAAGAAGGACCGACTTGACGTTGTTGTGATTGGTTGTTAATTTACGTTTGTATCGATCATCCTAATTGACTCTTGATTTGAACTTCCTTGTCATGTGATTTACTTTTTATTATATGGTAAATTTGGTCTATAATAATGTGTTTATCAGCCGCTGGCTGATCCACTTGAGTAGCAGGGTTCTAGGAGTTCCCTGGCATTACTGTATATGGGTGTTTTCTCTATTTACAATCTATTCATTATCCCAATCATTAAATTAGTGTCCATAATTATCATAATTATGGACACCAATTTGATGATTGGGATAATGTATAGAGTGTAAATAGAGGAAACACCAGACAGTAATGTCAGGGAATTCCTAGAAGTCAGGTACTCGATTGAATCAGCCAGCGATTAACAAACACACGATAACAAACCAAATATACCATCTAATAAAAAGTAAATCACATGACAAGGAAGTTCAAATCAAGAGTCAATTAAAATGATCAGTAGAGACGTAAATCAATCAAACCAGTCATGAAGATAATTGTCAGGAGACATAATTATATCATTCATGGCGAATCTAAGCGAGTTGATTTTATGCTACAACCTGCTCTGAAGATGTTGTCTTGAAGGGGTGGAGGCCAACAAAAGCTGCACAATTAAATCAACCAGCTTAGAGAGAACATAACCAAATCAAAATCATCCACTTGAGCCACAAATCTTCTCCATTATATTTAATTTACGTTAGTTTCTCTTAGATCCAATTTTCAGAATCTTATTGTCTTACTTATGCATAATATTTAATTTTAATTTTTCCCTTTTTATACTTTATATGAAAATAAAACACAACTTGTTTAGATCTTGTGTTTCAGCTTGGTCTTCGGGTACCGGTGCAGCTGGTTTAATTGGTTCACTTGTCTACGTTGGTTTAACAGCAATAGTTACACCTGAAACAACACTGCGCATTATAATTATTGTTCCTTGTGGTATATTAATAGTGTAAGTTATGTATATTAGACGAATTTCTGTGTGTGTGTGTGAAAATTCAGCTTGTACAATTTTTCATTACTATTATATAATCACTATTATTCAATTGGGTTCTGAGTGAACCATTAAGTTTCAGCAATACACCCAATTTAACCGTGTTCTCTGTTGTCCTTTTTAACTGGCTCAGCGATTGTTAATAAGCCTTCATCTCAGCACATGATCTCCTCCACGTCACCCTCAGATGGCCAACTCTCATTCAGGTTCCACTTTGGAGACTAACGCGTGAAATCCTTCAACGGTATTTTCATTGTGTGCCCAATCCACCTTCATTTCCTTCGGCATGTTTCGACAACACCAAAAATAAGAAGACACGTAGTTTATCTGAAACGTGTAATGTGATGTATTTGCCCAACACATTTCGGACATTCTGATCACGCACACACACACACGTACTTGTCATACACAGTTGTTTATATAGAAGGCAAGAAGGCATGAATCATTACAATACAGGTCAGATTGTGTACAGATCAAGGTCACAAATATTGGGTAAGGAGATGAGTCAAAAGTGTCGGTGAGAAAAAGAGCAAATATCATTCAGTAAGTCGGACATTGGTTCTGGACTGACTGGATTATTGAGTCAGGTTCAAAGGAATAACAAATAACTTTTGAACACATAAGACAGGTTTAAGTCTTTTTATGGCTAAAGCCTCAACAAATTTATTGAAATCAACCTCATGACCCGTCTCTATAATGTGCTTCACTATAGATGATGTTGAACACCTATTACTGGGATCATTTGAATCCGGCGGTTTTGCGTGTTTCGTCGCAGCCACTTTGGGATATGTTCTGTAGGCCTAGTCCACAGAGACTGATGGGTCCTTTCTGCCTTCTGTATAGCTGTGTATGACAAGTACGTGTGTGATTAGAATGTCCGAAATGTGTTGCGCTAGTACATTAGAACTTTTCAGATAAACTACGTGTCTTCTTATTGTGTTGTCGAAATTCATAAAGGGAACTAATTGCTTTAAATTCAGCTTATTTGCAGAGAAATAGATTCTTGGTATGTTCGCTGCTTGCCAGTGGAAGACATGAAAAGCCTGGCTAGCTGTTTTTAATCATAGATGCCTGCGTTATATCTCCCGCGTGAAGTGGTATAATAGGGTAAGAAATATTGAGGTTAGGCTTCGATGGAGTGTTGGGTAAGGAGGGGAAATCAATCGATAAGGTTGTGAAGTTACATCGATTGAGACGGTTAGGATATGTGTTACGGTATGCACGATTAGCCGTCGCCTTCCTCGGCAACGGCCGATGTTAGCTAACATGGGATCGATCATGTTGGGAAAGAATCAGTCGTGGTCAAACCAAAACATGGCCTCGTAGGTCAATGATATCCACAACAGTTAGTTTAAGTCAGCCACGTAGGCAGGTGTAGACTTCCTGACTGACTGGTTGGGGTACTCGAGATGGTAATAGCCAATGGCGACTGGAGACAATCGGTGATATGGCTCAAATCCGTTCTCAATGAATATCACAGACACATTCACTCTTTGTCGTTGATAATATCCAATAAAACTTTATTATTCTTCCATATTACTATTCTTTTTGCCTCAGATTTCTGTTTTGAATCTCTCTTTACTCTCTCCTCTTGCTTTGTGTGCTACATGGAGGGAGTGTGGCAACTCGAATCGCTGCACATTGGTGCAAAGTTCTACGTCGAAACCAGTCAGTCAGTCGGTCAGCTGCCTGCTGGAGTTCCCCCTTGTTGCTTATCCTTCTCGACTAGTCATTTGCTTTTCAGTATATTATAGAGAAAACATCATTCATTCTTTGTGTTGTCATAGATCTAATAAATTCTTATTATCCTCTCTGTTGAATATTATTTTTCCTCGTGAATGTCTTCGGTGAAATATAGTTTTTCTGTGATATCTCCTTTTTATAAGGTGTGTAGCTACTCTTAAACTTGGGTACCTTTAGTGTAAAGTAGTTCTACGTTGAAAAAAAAAGATTCCATTCAGTTCAGAATAGTACCAATCAATTTGTTAATTGATTGTACTTTAGTTTACTCTAGCTGAAAATATAAGTTGTTTGTAGTTAGATAAGGTGATTGATGATTTTACATATTCTTGAATTTTAGATACAAATATTATTGAACTCTGTATATTGTTATCTGAGTTCTCCGCCAAATAGATATGTAGCAAAAAAAATATTCATTCCGACATTGTATAAAACACAAAATAATTGAGCCAGCAAAGAATATCCTTTTCGATAAAGTCCACCTCTTCTGGCTCTACAATTATATATACATGTGTTTATATACATAGAATATTCTAGATTAGTAGTCGATAACAATATTGGTGTTTTTGAATAATATCGATTTATAGAGTAAGATCAATGCAATTACAGATCATTAAAAGTACTTAAATTATAACAATAATAATAATAATAACAAATATATATAGTAGCAAATAGAATATCAACTAAAATTAGGAAAATTCCACAAAAATTTTAGGATCATTCAAACCTAGATGGCCAAGGTAATAATGATAATGTCTGAACTAACTACTTTTGGATGCACAAATTAGGCTTCTTAATATAATAACAATATAATAATATGGATCCTAACGGCCAGCCTCAGCAGTATTTAGTAGTCGAACTCTTAAGGCAAAATTGAGATTCGCAGGTATGCGGTAAATGACCCTGAAAGCATAGTTAACGTCAGTCTTGTATTCTGTATCCACAAGATGAGATAGAATAGCGGTGCGAATAGATTTTGTTCGTCCTCTACTTAACCACCATGCAGGTGATGTTCGGCAATTCGACGAGAAATACGCCTAATAGAACGGCCTATGTAACTGGCTCAGTTTACAGGAGCAGTTAAACGGGTAGATACACATGGAAGAGGCGAAATTAGGCAGTTCGTCTTTCCATATTAGTTTGTTTATTAGATATATCACACAGTGAAACAGTATTATTTTGTCTTTTGAAGACACAGTGTAATTCGGCTGCAGGGAATGGTCTTTTACCGGGTTTTTAAGGCGCTGTGTTAGTATCTCGCTGATATTGTCCCAAGGAACTGCATTTGTAAGAATAAGTCGTTTTTAGGAACTGTTGATACCTTGAGCTGATTTGATTTTACATTCATTTTCTTATCAATGAACCTTTCTGAATAACCATTCTCACTTAGCAACCGTTTAATATTATTAAGTTCCTCATCAAGACATTCATCCGAGCGAATTGCTCTTGGTCTATGATCCAGGCACTTTATCAGATTGCGTTTGTATTTCAAGGGCACGAAGCTGAGAAAATGAGTATACTGATAGTCAATTGATGTAGGTTTTTTATATACACTTCTTCTTATTGTGCCATCCTCTTTTATGGTCATAAGGACGTCTCAAAATGAAATACTAGAGTCTTTTTTCATTCACAATAGTAAAATTTATTGCAGGATGAACCTCATTAAATTTATCCAGGATGTTCTTTGCTTCTTTCTCATTTTTCATAATCAACAATGTATCATCCATGTTTCTCGTCGGATTTCCAAACATCACCTTGCATAGTGGTTAAGCAAAGGACACACAGAATACATTCATAGTTCTATTCTCTCTCATCTCGTGGATGCAGAACATAAGATGGATGTTAACGAAGCTTTCAACATTATCTACCGCATACCAACTAATCTTAACTTTACCTTAAGAGTTCGTCTACTACATATTGCTGAAACCGTTAGGATCCACATTGAGAAACTTAATTTGTGCATCCGAAAGTAGTTAGTTCAGACATTATCATTATTACCTTGGGCATCTAGGTTTGAATGATCCTAAATTTTTGTGGAATTTTCCTAATTTTAGTTGACAATCTATTTGCTACTATATATATTTGTTATTATTATTATTATTGTTATAATTTAAGTACTTTTAATGATCTGTAATTGCATTGATCTTACTCTACAAATCGATATTATTGAAAGAAAACACTAATATTTTTATTGACTACTAATCTAGAATATTCTATGTATATAAACACTTGTATATATAATTGTAGAGCCAGAAGAGGTGAAATTTATCGAAAAGGATATTCTTTGCTGGCTCAATTATTTTGTGTTTTTTAAATAGATATATATTTATTTTCAAAATGTTTGGTCAGATTATCTGTGATAGTTGTTCATAGCCTTGGGAGGAAGAGGGTAGGTGGTGATGGTGTGTTTTCTTTGTGAAGTAATTAATAAAGTTGAGTGATTTCTTGAGTTTTATTGATTATGTAAGATTTCGGTATGAGCTATTTATCAAATGGTATATGCTGCTGCTGTTACTACTACTTTTTACTGATGACTGATTTGAGTATTTTTTGAAAACTGTTCACATCAACAAGTAGTGTTGGCGCATGTCAAGCCACTGAAGTCTTCGATGAGGAATGTTAGCTGATATGGGATTAGGTTGGAAAAGAGTTGGGCGTAGCCATACAAAAACCTGACATCAGTTCATGAAGTTCAAGTGCTGGTTTGTAGGGATTTGATTGATTGGTTACAGGATTTCATCATGAACCATTGGAAAACCTGCAGAGAGTACTAGACAACTGTCTCGCACCCATCACCAGGGTTCGAACCCATGACCTTCTGGCTGGCTGGTAGACCATTAAGCCTTTGGGACCCAATCCAGTGACCATCCCATTGATTCTAACTTCTGCCAATTCATAGCGACATAGCGCAACCACTAGCCAATGTCATGGCTGGCAAGTATTTGTCCTCACGCCCGACTTGCTGTACCGTACTGGTCACGACGTTCCCAGATAATTGCCTGAATAGGACCAGTCACTTGTGAGGAAAGGCTTGACATGAGTCTGGCAATTGCACCTCACAAAAAAAGCGTCACTGATATTGTAACCTCAAAGCTTAAGCTTGAAGCCATTCTTCATCTTCTTCCCAAGTGAAAAAGAGCTTAGAAGAGGAAAAGAGATTTTGTATAAATCATATGATTATTATTGTTCCCTTGAGTTCCTAGTGGAACATAGGGCTTCAACTGCACGTCTACACTTGCTTCTGTCTTTTACTATGCTTTTCACCTGTATCCATGTTAGTCCATACTGTTTCAATTCCACTTCACACGATCTCCTCCATGTCATCCTTGCACTGACGTCCCACTCACCGCTTCCCTTTCGGCCTGGTTCCACTCGAGCAATGGCCTGACGTGCAATGTCACCCAGCGGCCTCCTCAGTGGGTGTCCAATCCATCTTCACTTTCTCCTGGATATTTGTTGGGCGATTGGTTCTTGTGTTGTTTGTTCTCATAGTTTCTTGTTGGTGATTCTTTCCGGCCATCTGTTCTTCAGTATGGGGCGATGATATGTGTTCGAAATACAATGACTAGGTAGAATATAATAATTCATAAATGTTTATCATGTATGAATACTTCGAGCATCTGAAAACTTTTTAATCAACTTACAAGCTTATTCTGATGTAAGTGTCTTGAATCGATCTTTTCTAAGGTAACAGCAACAACCTTATATATATAGTGGTAATTGAGGTTTCTAGTCACGTAGATGATCATTTCCCAGGCTTTAATGAGAAGTAAGTAATAACATTACATAGCCTAGGTCCCTATGATATGCCGAGCATTTTACTTCAAAAGTGTGCCGAGATATTTTGTGTCATCCTCTTACACAAATCTTTATTTTCATTCTTTTTTTCCCTCACTTTCCCAGTGGAATATAGGGCTTCAAGCTAGTGGCTTGAAGTTTCTGTAGCAGTGTTTATTTTACAGGATGGGGTTGCTAGCCTCATGCCGAACCTTTCCTCTTTACCAGCATTATTTCGGGGTTAGTGAGGTGAAGGAGTGCGGCCAGTGGCCGGGAATCGAACCCTGGACCATGTGCATGGTCGGCGAGCGTCCTAACCGCTATGCCACCGACGCATACAAATCTTTATTGTATCATTTAATAACTTGGAAAGAAATGAAGGTTGTTCCTGTACCAAAATCATCTTGTGGATCAGGTTTAAAGTGTAGGCCAGCTGCCATCACATCTCCTTTTTTGAAAGCTATGGAGTAGTGACCCAAAACAGTTTGCTTATAAATGCAGTAGAAGCACTCTAGATGCTGCCATTGTGTGTACTCCACTACAATATTATTTCAAGTCTTGACGCTGGTGCAAAGTTTGTTCGAGACTCCTTTCCTAGACTACGCTGTTGCTTTTGCACTCTATTCCTAGGCCGCTTCTACTAAAAAAAAAACATTTCAGCACATACCGAGTCCTGGGTCATGCATGAGGTGGCTATCGTCTTATTTTTCGGGTAGAAAATAACATATTGTTTTAAATGGAGAGCGACTTACTTCTTTGCTGCTAATGGAAACTGGTATGCCTCAAGGCATCTTCCGTATTCTTCCAAGTCTAATTTCATTAAATATGTCGATGATCTGATGAATTTCTGTCCCAGTAGTTTCTGTGTTGGATTCTTCTTATATGATGAATTAGATTCTTGTCTGAAGTTAACAAATGGTCTTAAACTAAAATCATATGTGATGAATGTCATATTGCTGATTTCAGTTTAAGGTGCGAATAAAACTTGCATGGACTTAATCAGTCCCATGATGTATGTAATGTTGGGATGTGTTATGTATTCGTCGTGTAGTTAATAATCCTGACGCGGAAAGAGGGAAATCAGAAGACCACCAGGTTTACGATGATACTTGTATTTTCCAGACAAGGAATATAAATGTCACACAAGAGTGTGAGTGAAATTGTACGTAGTGTACGAAACGTGGGAACAAGTATGAACAAGTATACAGTACAAAAGTATATATGAAAATGACTAATACACATGAACCAATAAATAGACAGTCTTAACACGATTGGTTGTAATGTCATGTGACAACAAGGTCATACATGTTTATTTAGTTAGTGGACAGACAAAAGCATAATGTCAGTTATAATGGAATATCGATCCACATACACACAGCAGAATATAACAGACTGTGAGAAACAAAACAGGCATCATGTGGATACATATCAAATGGTATCAAATACTGCCTATCTTGGTGTCAGTTTCTTTTCAAATGATTTTCTGTCGTCTCATTATATTGACTTCTAAGATCTTTTAGTTGACTTATAACATTAATAAGTTGAAGCATTATAGCACAACTCAACCAACCTCTTCTCTTACAGTTTATTAATTCATGTAATCTACTGACTCATTTTTTTGCATTATTCCCTCTTATTCTCCCCCGGGTTTATAAAAAATAATTGTGCTATATTATGTAGGACGTTGAAGGGTGTAAGCAGGCAGGGGTAGTGGTGTGTGCCTTTGACTCAACTAACTGCGTTATTGTTGTTGTTGTTGATGGGCATTATAATTCTTGCAAGCAGTTGTCTAAAGTCGTGTTTTAATTGATCGATAATCCTTTTTCAGGCATTAGTGAAAACAAAGCACGTAGTATTCAACCAAGAGTCTCTTTTCGGCATCAGCGGCTAATTCATTTTCTTAGCTGTACAATCGCAAATATATACATGGGTTGTTTTGTATGCATCTGTACATTAAGTTTGTCAAACAAAAATACAATTTTCTATAGTTTGGTTTGTAAGGATTAGTTATGTTTTTACGAGTTGATCATGGATAGATATCAGTTAGAGAACGATTGTAAACCAGTACTGGAATACTGGACAGCCAGTTGTTTCATCCTAGTTTGGAAATCATCGGCAGTACGCACCCACCACTAGGATTTGAACCCACGACCTTTCAGTTACAAGGCCAGCTAGCTGTCTCGTATACCATTCAGCCACTGGGACCCGATTCAATGGCTATCCCATGAATTCTAATTTCTACCAATTCGTGATTTAGCGCGACCACAACCATTGTCGTTGGTGGGACCATCCATCCTCACACGTGACATCTGGATGGACCTGACTGGTCACGACTTCTCGCTAGAACTCAGGAAACTCCATCCTGTAGCAAGTCAGTAACGAGCATCAAATTAATATTCTGTAGTTTGGTTTGTAAGGGTTAGTTTTGTTTTTACGAGTTGATCAGGTTGGGATCGCGCTAAATCACGAATTGATAGAATTTAGAATTCATGGGATAGCCATTGAATCGGGTCCCAGTGGTTGAATGGTATACGAGACAGCTAGCTGGCCTTGTAACCGAAAGGTCGTGGGTTCAAATCCTGGTGATGGGTGCGTACTGCCGATGATTTCCAAACTAGGATGAAACAACTGGCTGTCCAGAATTCCAGTACTGGTTTTCAATCGTTCTCTAGCTGATATCAATCCGTGATCAACTCGTGAAAAAATACAGTTGTTTATGCTTATTTTAACTAAAGGAGGGTGAGAATTAGTATTTGTATTACGTAACTGTACTCAAAACTTACTAATTTACACCTGTTTAGTTAGAGCAATCATAACCAATTGTCTATTTTTGTTTGACAAACTTAATGTTGTACACATACCTACAAAGTAACCCATATATATATTTGCGATTGTAGAGCCAAGAAAATGAATTCGCCGTCGAAAAGAGATTCTTCGCTGAACACTACGTGTTTTTTCCTTCCATTAAAGTTATGTTGCCGAATACTGAACATCATCTTCATTCGCAAATTTTTTTTGGAACTCTTCAGAGAAAACCAGGAGAAACTTCACCAGAATTTATGCTGCTCGTACAGCAAAATATAGAAATTCAACTAAACCATAATTTATTTATATTATTTTATTTAAACGCATAAAAACTTGGTACAATATGGCACCAAGAATGATGCACCACACAATAATTATAAAACAACATAGATCAAAAGAAAAAAAGAAAGAAGAGAAAAAAAAATATATAAGTAGAGAACGGATAAAGAACTTCATCTGGAAGGAAGACAGTCATGCTTTACAAGTTTAAACAGTATTCGTTAACTATCATCGAGAAGGAAAGAAAGAAGGAAACTGCAACACGTGTAATAGCACCCGATAAGTTTCATTGATTGTTTGTTGCTTTATTCAATTCATTGTGTGAAGGCTGAGATACTGCCTAAGCGCTCAGACCGAAGCAGGTGGTTTTATTAAGGGACCAACCCCCGAGCCTTTGACTTGGGGTCTAATCCGCAAGGCAGCGGAGCAGCGTCAGGAGCTGCATTCCCATGACCGTTTCCGGTGACCCATATGGGTTCATACGCCATTTGATCCGATTGGATGCTGGAGCCCATGTATCTCATGGTAACTGCTTTTAGTCTAACCGCTATCCAAACAACCTTCCTGACATGGTAGGACCTGCAGGGACAGGTCCCAGTCAGTTTAGCATGTTGGGTCATTACGGTATTCAAGCCTGACCACCACGACAAGATAGCAGTTATCGGCCGGGAAACCATAATTATTATTATTTTATGACATCTCCCTCTACACACAACCATCCGTGCTAATTATGGTTTAGCACGGATGGTTGTGTGTAGAGGGAGATGTCATAAAATAATAATAATTATGGTTTCCCGGCCATGAAATATTGTACTGATGTAAAGCAGTTCGAGTCTCCACACTCCCTCCAATTAGCACACCAAGAAAGGGAAGAAAGTAAAAACAAATTCAAAATAGAGATAATTAACAGAAATATGAGGCATCAAGAATAGTAATATGGAAGAACAATAGAATTTTATTGGATATTATAAGCCACAAAGAGTGAATGTATCTGCGCCAGCTATTGACAACGATAACTTTGAGCCATATCACCAATTTTCTCCAGTCGCCATTGGTTTCTACCGGCCCAAGCACCCCAACCAGGAACTTTACACCTACCTACTTGGCTGTCGTAAACTAACTGTTGTGGATTTCATTGACTGATCAAGATGTGCTTTCGTCTGACCACCACTGGCTCTTTTCCAACCTGATCGATCCCATGTCAGCTAACATTTCCCGTTGTCGAGGAAGGAGATAGCTAGTCGTGTATGAGTAACACATGTCGTAACTATCTCAATCGATGTAACTTCACAGACTCACTGATTGATTTCCCCTCCTTACCTAGCACTCGACCGAAGCCTAACCTCAATATTTCTCACCCTATTATACCACTTCACATGGGAGACTGAAAGCAGGCACCTATGATCAAAGACAGCTGGCCAGGCTATTCATACCTTTCACTTTCAATAGTCAGGTCTCACATTCAGCTGTAAAAGAGGACACAGCGAACTGTTGTTCAGTACAAACGTCCTTTGATCGATTGCCAGACGGATATCACATGTACGCCATAGATGGCGTAAGTAACCGAATATAAACCAAATGAGCTTTCTGCATTTATGATGAGATTTCGTCATTGATCAAGCCGTTGGGGGCTGATGCCACTTCCTAAATAAGTAGGGTGGTCAACATGCTCTACTACTTCATTCTCTTACTGTATTTAAGCCACGCGTCAATGTAGTCCAGTCCTATAACATCATCTTACATTTGATCTGAGCGAATCGCGTGCCAAGCATTCCAAGATTGCTGTTCCTCAATGTGTTCAGAAGTATCTGCATTTTGCCAGCATATTCTAAGTCACCGAGATTATTCCCTGGTGACAGGTCATTCCCTGAGTCACTGAAGTCAACAGTTAAGGTTAATTCCATTAGTAAATCCATGATGAAATTAAATAGAAATGGAGACAGTGGGCCTCCCTGACGGACACGACTAGTTGTCACCATAGATATCAGATGACAACTCTCTGTAGGCTCTCACCTAGCTGCACGAGTTCGAGTTGAGTAAGTGCCTTGGTCAGTGTGATGTATTTTCTCGGTATTTCTTTCACATCTTAACGTTGCCATAGTACTTCTCAGTCGACAAAATTGTATGCCACTTTCAGATGAAGAAATATGGCCATTGTTGGATGCCTGTAAATATGCCTATGTTCCAGAATCTGTTGAGGGGTGGAGATATTATTCATGAACCCTCTTCCTGGTGTAAAGCCTGCCTGATTTTCTTGTGTTTGTTTCTATCGAACACTGCTTAGTCCACGCATGATTGCTGAGCCTAGAACTTTAGATACTACATTAGTCAAGCTAATACCCCTGTGGTAATCACAAGAAGACTTGTCTCCCATTTTGTGTATGGGGATAATCAATGACTTACACCTACTCTGATTCCCAGACTCTGCCTAATACCTTAGTTAATGCAGACAGGAAACTGTCTCCACCGTACCTAAATACCTTTGGAGTCATTCCATCAGGTACCGCTGCTTTGCCTTGTTTGACATTGGTGGCAGCTTTAGTAACCTCAGTTAGGAACGGAGGACATGTGTCTGTATTCCATTCCGGGAGGTGTTAAGTTTTCGGTGAGTTGAGCGTGGCTGTAGGCCAGTTAAATTGCTCCTCAGAATTTTTCTTAGAATAATAATAATAATTTACTTATTATTTATTATGTTCTATTAACTTTCAGTGTTTTTGGTTTTATCATTTTTACAATTTTATGTATTTATGTACTCGTAAAAGGAACTAAATTGTTGTAATATGTATAACATGTTAGAGATCCAATCCTGTAAAATGATTGTTGTTTGAATCAAAGTGACTGTATTATATATTATTATTATTGTTATAACTATTATAGCATTAGTAAAGTATAGACTCCAAAGTCAAACGACCTTGAGCCAACCAATCAGATTGCTCAGCATTACAAATGGGTGCTTTTCATAATCTCCGTTGCAAGTTTCACTCTAACGTTAACCATAACCTTACCTTAAACCTACCCTAACATTTACCCTAAATCAGACTGTAACTTGCAACGAAAATTATGACAAGAATGCGTTTGTAATACTGAGCCACCTGATTGGTTGACTCAAGGTTGTTTGACTTTGGTGTCTATTCTTTACTATTGTCACTATTTATTATTTAACTGGGAACACTCAAACGACGAATAAAATAGTTTTTCACAAAAAAAAACAGATGAATAAAATAAGTGGTGGTTTTACACATAATGTTTAACTCACCTCGTGAAAAAAAGTAAACCAAATAAAACAACTGACCAACGTGTATTTAATCGATTATATAAGACCAACTAATGGTGATCGATTTTCATATGAGATACACTCGAATTTGTGTTGTTTTTTCAAAGTCAAAATACGTATCAGTGTGTAAATTAAAAGTGTGAAAAATACTGTCTACAAAATGTAACTAGACGGGACAAGATGTTCCACTAGTCAGATAAAAGTGGTTCGAACATCAGACAGCCTTTTCGTTTGCCTGACGTCGACTCCATCATCGATATACGGGCTGATTAGTCGTCAGTCTCAGGAAAATGATTTTTTTTCACACCGAGGAACATATGTTAATTACTAGTTCATAACATACAGTATATGCTTTCGTAATAAGCAAGTCACTGATTGTGATCTGATTATACTGGATTGGATCTTTGAATTCAAACCCATGTAGATGAATGGTCAACGAAATATATCTCGTAACCTGAAGATTACGGGGTTTATCCCTCGTGCAGTCGTGGGTACACAGCGATAGGACGAAACAGCCCTGTCCAATACTCTATGGTTTCCAGTGGTCCTCTAACTGACATCAAACTGTGATCAAGCTTGAAATAGATCAAACCTCTGCAAACTAACCGTTAAAAATCTGATGTATATCATGATAATTATTATAACAATGCTAATAGCTTTATTCCAAACATTGTGGAATTTGGCAGTGTGGAGCTCTCAGCGTGCATGATAATATTGCATTCAGTTTTCTCTTTACATGATATAATAAAGGGGAAAATAATTCACAAGACATTTGCATTAATAATAATGTCAACAAAAATTTAAATGTTAAATAGAAATAGTGACAACAGGATGTTGATAATGGAAAGAATAAAAAGCTCGGTTTATTTACTATTTCGAAGTGAAGAGGGGAGTAAGACAAGTCTGTCTGGCTGGTTGCCCATTATGGACAATGATTTTCCTGATTGCTGTAGACTGAACAATGTGACAGACAACGGACAGCGAGAAAACAGGCTTAAAACTTGGAGGATCTGGACTTCGCCGATGATTTATGTCTGATATCCCACAAATTGGAAGATATGCAAGTGAAAAGCAACAAGTTGGCGATGGAAGAAGCATCAAAGATAGGACTTCAAGCGAACATACATAAAACAGAGGTGATGAAGATTACTTGCCAACACCAACAGCAACAACAACAGACAACAATCAGCATAAATGGGAGAAATATAGAAGAAAAAACCTCTTTTACCTAGCTACCTGGGAAGCATCGTTTCAACTACAGGCGGACGAAACTGATGAGGATATCAAAGAGTGAATCGGGAAAGCAAAGCCAGTTTTCATTACTCCCAAGTTTGTGTGGAGATGGACAGAACTCAGCATGAAAATGAAGATAAGATCTGGATTTTCAACTCCATTGTGAAGTCAATGGCACCATACTGATCAGAGACTTGGCGCGTCAAAAAGAGCACCCCAAACAGACTACAGACATTCATCAACAGCTGTCTTCGCTCAATACTACTCAAGATCAAATGGTCAACCAGAAAAGATCAGCAACAGAGACCTCTTGGAGCGAACCAACTAGGAACCGATTGTGCAACAAATATGCAGGAAGAAATGGAGGTGACTTGGCCATACTCTGAGAAAAGAAAGCATCAAGTGACATCACAAGACAGGCCCAAGAGTGGAACCCGAACAGGAAGCAGCGAGTTAGTTGGTCGTCAGTGCGAGGGTGACATGGAGTAGCAGGTCATGTGAAGAGGAGATGAGAGCGTGTGGGCAGACGTGGAGCCAGGTGAAAACATTGACACAGAACCGAACGCAATGGAAATGTACAGCTGAAGCCCTATGTTCCTCTCGGAACTGAAGGAAATAATAATAATACTAATTCACTGTTTCTCAGTAAGTTAGAAGTCCCATGTATAACACCTTTCTCATCCCTTAAAAAGTGTTCTGAATAAGGTATCATAGAGCTTTTAGATTTAGTTGTCTAAGCTTAAAGCGTCCAGTCCTACCTGATAAGTTCCACGTTGAGAGTTGTATATTGAAAGGGTGTCTGCAGTTTGAAAAGATGGTTCTTACCATTTTCTCGCATGAGTTCAAGTGTCTATCTCCACAACAGTATTAATGATTTGGCTTAGCATCTGCCTACTGTTTACAAGCTTCTCAGAATTCACTGGCATTCTCTTTTCTTTTCACTGAAGGTATCATCTAGGAAGACTATGGAACGTTCATAATTAAAAATTCCTAATAGCTTGATTCCTTTCGTAATTCACAAAATTTTTTACTGTTGTTTAAAATACACAAATAGTCAAGACAGTCTTGTTTATTTCCTGCATCCATAGGTATTTCTTCATTCTGAACAGTCCTCATCACTCAAAATTCAGATGTGGCACAAATTATGCACCTTCTTCAGTTAGTTCCAGTAGACCGACTCAGGATCTGAATGCACTAAACGCTGACGATGCTGATGAATTGGTCGATAGTGAGTTTTAAAAACATTTTGGTATTTTAAAGTATGACCACAGATTTCTATCAGTTAAAGAACCATTGAAAATCAGGGAGCATTGGACTTGCTGTTTTGTTCTAGTACGCGCTAATAACTCGAAAGGGGATCATACCCGTCTTTCAGGTTACGAGGCAGGCTCATTGACCATCCAGTCACTAGGATGGAATCCAGTGGCCCTTTAAAAGTCTCAGACTAGGATGAAAAGGTGTCTAATACTCCCTGGTTTTCACTGGCTCTCTAATTGATATCAACCCGTTACCAAACTTGAAACGAGTGAAGTCCCTACAAACTTGAAAATTTAGGAATTTTATTTTAACTACTCACGAGTAGGCGATATGATTTTGCAAAATACTTTTCCACGTATTACAAAATGTTACCAATCTGAAGGTTTCAACACGAAAAAGATTTCGCCGTAGTCTATGTGTAGTAGACACATGTACATGCTAATGATGAATCTTAAATAGGGGAGAAATGGACGTCTTGAATTCCATTCGTAGCTATCATCAGCCCAATAACAGAAAGCAAGTTGTCTTGTTAATATTATTGATTAAGTGTGATACTTGGCAGTATCACATACTAATAAAGAGTTTTCGGAGAATTTCTGCAAGTCTATAATGATACTTATAGTGCGAGTATGCGTTTTGTAAATTTTATATTTATTTCTTGCAATTGTTGGAAGTCTGATGCGTTGACGTGTTAATATTTGTGAAAGAAACTTCCAAGGAAGTGATGCTTGTAGGCTAGTAATAATAGTAGTCGCCTTAACCACTCTGAATAGCTTCCCTGGAATTCTAGGGATTTGACTCATTGGCTTAAGTACTCAAATTACAGTAGAGGATTTTAGGGCTGGAATCTCGCTGAGTCTGTTTAGTCCCAGACTAGTTCGTTGTATCAGTTGTTCTCACACAATAAGTGCAGATCATAGCCCGGTACCGGTAACTGAGATCTGAATAACTTTGAGATAAGAAGCGGTAAGCTAATGCTAAGTTTACATAGATTCGCGTTGAGTAAGTGCTTTCAGTCAAGTCTGTAATGTGGTCACCAAGTTAGGTTACTTGCCGGGTTCTTTGTACTTTGAATTGATATTAGAAGATTAGGTGGTTAGCGACGTTCAGCAGAAAGTCCCGTACCTAGCTTCCTTGCTTACTGACAGTGGTCTGTAAGGTGTGTTTGCAAGCACAAAAGAATTGTTGTCCCCCCTGCCCCGCCGGAAATTCCAACCTGTATCACCCAGTTCCCCAATCAGTACTGTCACTGCATGGTATATTTGATGGCATCTGTCGTAAGTCGTCAACCCCACAGTAATGCTGGAGTGCATATATCCTTTTGTATCGCATCATCCTGGAGAGATTAAAGGATGCACTGGAGACAGAACTACGACCAGAACAAGCTCGATTCAGGAAAGGCAAATCATGTTCTGACCAAATTGCAACTCTACGCATCATCATCACAGAACAAAGCATGGAACGGAAGTCAAACCTCTACCTCAACTTTATAGACTTCGAGAAGGCCTTTGGCAGCGTTGACCGTGAAGTAATTTGGAAACTACTCGAGTACTACGGCGTACAGTGCGCCAAATATTCATCAACCTTATTCAACAGCTGTACGACAACGGCACCTGCCAAGTGATCCACAACGGAAAACTCAGTGAGGTGTTTGAAGTAAACACAGAAGTCAGACAAGGGTGTTTATTATCACCAGTGATATTCCTAATTGTGGTGGACTGACAGTGAGTGGGAAACGAGAAGACAGGAATACCCTGGACCAACACGAAGAACCTAGAAGACCTGGATTTCGCGTGTGGATGATTCATGTTTGATGTCACACAAAATCGAAGACTTACAAGCGAAAACCGACAAACTGGTCGAAGAAGCAGCCGGTGAAGGCAGGACTCCAAGCGAACATAGACAAGACGGAGGTTATGAAAATAAGCAACCAACAACAACATCTAGCGTCAATCTCCATCAACGGGAGGGATTTGAAAGAGGTCACTTCATTCACTTATCTCGGGAGCATTGTCTCAACTACAGGCAGTGGGAACGGACGAGGATGTCAAATAGAGCGAGAATCGGGAAGGCGAGGAACACATTCATCAACCTGAAACAACCAATCTAGAAATCTCCGTCTTTCAGCTTCACCATCAAAATTCGGATTTTCAATACAAACGTCAAGTCAGTCAGATCTTCTATACGGATCAGAAGCTTGGCGGGTGGGTCACAACGAATATTTCCAACAACCTGTTGCAGGCCTTTATTAACAACTGTCTTCGCTAGATCTATACTGAAGATCAGATGGCCGGAAAGAATCACCAACAAGAAACTGTGGGAACAAACAAAACAAGAACCAATCGCCCAACAAATATGCAGGAGAAAGTGGAGATGGATCGGACACTAGCTGAGGAGACCGCTGGATGACATCACGCATCAAGCGCTCGAGTGGAACCCGAAAGGGAAGCGGCGTGTGGGGCGTCCAAGGGTGACATGGAGGAGATCATGTGAAGAGGAGTTGAAAGGGTACGGACTAACATGGATGCAGGTGAAAAGTACAGCAGAAGACAGAAGCAGATGGAGACGTGCAGTTGAAGCCCTATGTTCCATTAGGAACCCAAGGGTGCAATAATAATAATAATAAAAATTGCACAACCTCCTGGCCACCAATTTACATTCGAATCAATCAAAATCCCTGTGAAACCTGAAATCTCAATATAAGTCTCCACTTATTAGTAGCTACTACATAGATATCCTGAAGTTCTAATAAGAAATCGTGGCCGGTCAGGTCCATCATGCAGATGTAAGTTGGATGCAAATCTATGGAATTAGTTTTTTGCAGGGCTACACCACAAATCGACAGAAGTTAGATTTGAGGGATCATCGAATTCCAACGCAGTAACTGAATGGTTAACGTGCAGGCCACGTAAACTGAAAGTATTGGGTTCGATCCCTGCTGTTGTCAACAGTGTCTACTTCTTAAGGGTCTCAAAGTACTTTTATAGGATACTGGTTAGTAATCAGTGTGGTGTGTCTAGTCATCTGTTTGGTGCAGGCTAAATTCTGTCAACCAAGTTTGCGATGTGGTCATCATGTCACTAGTTGGCTCCGACATCACAGTACACTCCAAATTGTGGTTATTAGCTGGTTGGACGCAATCGGCCATAGGAGGCCTTGCTTGACCTAGGTTTCGGTTTTGTTGGCACTCACTTGTCATCAAGGCGTATTTGCTGTCTTGAAGGGGCTCACCGCACTTCTGAGGTTCGAACTTGGTTCACACAGTGAGGCAGTCAGAGACTTTATCACTGAGCTATTCGGGAACTTGATTGATGGTGATGTTGGTAGAGGAGAATGATGCTCAGGGAGGCTCCGTGTGCTCTTGAAAGTTTGTGGGCGTTTGTTACTTCCCCGCTGCCCACACCGTGGAAGTTGGTTGATTATTCGGGTACCTGAAACAAAAAGGTTAGTGTTGCGTGACTCCAGAGCCCAAGAGACAACTGCTTCAGGCCGATCACACACGGCCAGTACGAACTGGTTTCTTGAATTAGTTCCGTATTAGTAAACTTACCGCCGTAAGGCAACCCGGGATGTACAATTTTCATAGTCAAACTTTTCTAAACCCCTCTCTCCAGAGTGGAGAGACAGCATAACTGGTTGGCGTGCTGGTCATCTGAGAGAAACACCTCATTGATGTTGCATCCCTGTTCCTCAGCAGTATGATTTCGCCCACGAAACCCCCAACATAGTATAAAAGCAATTATTACACTATTCTGGTAATCACTATCCTAACAACCTTTCTGGCATGGTAGGACGTGCAGGAACAAACATTCCAGCCAGTGTAGCTTGTTGGGTCATTGCGATATGCAAGTCCGACCACCACGTCAAGGTAGCAGCTATCGATTGGGGATGGTAAGAACCAATGGCTGGAGACAATCGGTGATATAGGTCAAAGTCGTTCTCAATGGCCGACGCAGATGCATCCACGCCTTGTGAATTATAATTTCTAATGAAACTATGTTGTTCTTCGTTATTACTATTCCTTTTGTCTCATATCCCTGTCTACTGTCTCTTCTCATGTCTTGCATTCCTTCTTCTTTCTTCTCTTGCTTTGTGTGCTATATGGAGTTTGATGACTTAAACTGCTGCACGTCGGTGCAAAGTTCTATGTTGAAAACAGACAGGGCACTTGATTGGCCTCCCATAGGACTGTATTGTTTACTTCGATTAGGCACCAAGCAGTAAATAATGTTGTGCGTCTAGTTCTTCGTTTTGATACAGGTTGAATCGCTTCAAGATTGCGGATACTCCTAACTGACGAGCGCCAGCAACCACGAAACGTAGGCAGACTGCCTACAGCTACCTAACAACATATCCCAAGGTAAAAAGAAACAGCTGTTGAAAAGTTCCTTGTTTTTCCAGCGTAATAAAACCAACCTTGAAATCACTAGGATTTTCTGCTGAATTAACAATGTACAAGGCGTACCAATGGAATTGTGCTTCTACAAATCCCCCCTCCCCCCATCACTTTCATCAATACCTACCGTTTACGGTAGCGTGCGTGACTGATTGTTCAACCCAGTGACAATCGATTGCATTTGACTACCTACTTTTAACCTACAATGTAAATTGTCTTTTCAAGTTGTTTGTTTGGTATTGACAATCATCTACTAATTATCGATTTGTTTTTGCTGTTGTTGAAATTATTGATGGTATATCTGAGGATGAAAACAATAACAATGCTGCTGTATTCATGAATAATGAAGGCTATATGCAGTTGACAGATGAAGACGAATCAGTGTCACCCGCCAGCCCAAGTGCTCTACAACAGTTACATCCTAATTGGTTAGTGAAATTTCAATTATTGAAGGTAGGTCTCTGACTTTGATGAAAAATATTACTATTATTACTATTATTATTGATTTTATGTGCTTTTTCTGCTTTTTCTCTTAATACTGTCGATTATGGTGAAAGTGTATCTAGACGCACTGATTACTTTTTCACTCTTTGTGTTCCTACTGTAAAAATGTTAGCGGAGAGGGGGATTGTTGGGGTCAGGTGGTGGTGAGCTTTTAAAGTTTCTGTGATGCTGGTGGTGGCGCTGTTTTTATGGAGTGGAGCTGCTAACCGAACATCCAAACTTTCTTCTTTTCAGAGATTACTACAGACTAGAGCGCGGGGAGGGGGGGGTTAGGAGTGCATCTGTCGCAGACTGAATCCATTGTGCGTGTCTTTTTTTCTCCCCCAGATACTCATTAAAATTTCTTCTTTCCTCTGGAATACGTGAAAGTTTTTGATGCAATTTCAATTGAATTTCTCGCTTGGATGTTTTATGTTGAATGTCATACAAATTCGAAGACTTTATATAGACAAAAACCAACAAGTTGGGAAAATAAACATCAAAGACAAAAAGAACTTCATGTGAACATAGAGGGAGAAGACGGAGGTGATGACGATAACCAACCAACCAACCAACAGCAACAAAAATGGGACCAATTACCATCCTCAGGAGGGATTTGAACGGAGGTTACTTCCTTCACTTACCCTGCCAGGAAGTACGGTTTCAACCGTAGTAGGCAGTTGGAACGCATGAAGATGTCGAAGTCAGCCAGCTAGAATCAGAAGGGCAAGATACGCCTGCATATGGAATTAACAACAAGAAATCCTGGCATCAAACCAACCAATAGTCGATCGCTCAATATATATATGTGGGAGAAAATTGAGATGTGTCGAGGCTCGAATACGTTGAGGAAACAGTCGAATGACATTGCACACACTGCAGGCCATCACTCGAGTGAAATCTCAATTGGGAAGCAACGAGTGGGTGGTTGGTGCAAAGGTGACATAACGGAAATCGTCTGGAGAGGAGGAGGAGGAGAAGGAGATGAAAGACTATTGGCTGCAGATAGACTACAAGCCAAGTTCAACACTCAAAAACTGAAGGACCAGGCTACAAAGGACATCTTCATTGCAAACATAAGGGAAAAAGCCGAGACACAAATCAACACCAGCGAAAAGGCCAGCGTCGAAAAGCACTGGAACAACTTGAAAACGGTGTGGAGTCAAACCTGCATGGAAGTTCTAGGCAGAAGAAAGAGACAGGACAAACAGTGGCTCACTACGGACACTTGGAAACTAATAGAAGAGAGAAGGATAGTGAAACAAAAGATTATCCAGTGTACTGACGTGCAACAAAAACAGGAGCTGAATGCAAGCTACAATACACTGAACAAAAGAGTGAAGAAGAGTGCCAGGGAGGACAAAAGAAAATATTATGAAAACATGGAAAACGAAGCAGAACAAGCTGCAGTGCAGGCAAAGGAGACCTCGCCACACTCTACCAAACAACTAGGTACCTATCGGGCAAAAGTTCGACACAGATTAGGCCAGTAAAGGATGACAATGGAAAGTCAATCAACAAAGAGGTGGAACAAAGAAAACACTGGGCTGAACACTTCAAAAGACTTCTAAATCGTCCGCTACCTACAACACGCCCAACAATACCAACAACGGAAGCGGAACTACCAGTGAACATTGATCCACCGACGAAATCAGAAGTCCTGAATGCAATCAAGATGCTAAAAGCTGGGAAAGCAGCAGAGCCAGATGGAATCCCAGCAGAAGCATTGAAAATAGACCCAGAGACGACAGCGGACTTGATGACGCCACTGCTGGAGAAGGTGTGGAAAGAGGGCAAAGTACCTGAGGATTGGAAGAACGGATACTTATTCAAACTACCAAAGAAAGGAGATTTAAGTCAATGCAAAAACTGGCGTGGAATTATGCTTCTGTCCATTCCAAGCAAAATACTAAGCCGCATCATCCTGGAGAGGATCAAACAAGCACTGGATGCAAAACTCCGACCGGAACAGGCCGGATTCAAGAGAAACAAATCATGTATTGATCAAATCTCCACTCTACGGATCATCATTGAGCAAAGCTTGGAATGGCAATCACCTCTCTATCTCAACTTCATCGACTTTGAAAAGGCCTTCGACAGACAGCGTCGATCGAGGGGTGATTTGGAAACTACTTCGCTACTATGGAGTGCCATCGACTATTATACATCTCATCCAACAGGTATACGACGAGGCTGCATGCCAAGTAATCCACAACAGGAAACTTACAGAATCCTTCGAAGTGAGGACGGGAGTGGGGCAAGGCTGTGTACTATCACCAATGATCTTCCTGATTGCAGTAAATTGGATAATGCGACAGACAACGGCAACCAACGAGGGAATAGGCATAAAATGGACTCACACAAAAGACTTGGAGGATCTGGACTTCGCCAACGATGATATATTTCTGATTTCCCACAAACTGGAAGATATGCAAGTGAAAAGCAATAAGTTGGCATAAGAAGCATCAAAGATAGGACTTCCTTCAGGTGAACATAGAGGAAACAGAGGCAGGGATGAAGATTCCTGGCCAACAGCAACAACAACAGACAACAATCAGCATAAATGGGAGGAACCTGAAAAAAAACAGCCTCCTTTACCTACCTGGGAAGCATCGTTTCAAATACAGGCGGAACTGACGAGGATATCAAAGCAGCTAGGATAGGAAAAGCAAGACATGCTTTCATTACTCTGTGATTCTAGTGAGAAGTCGTGACCAGTAGGGTGCGGCAGGTTGGGTGTTAGGACAAATACTCGCCAGCCATGACATTGGCTAGTTGTCAGGCTATGTCGTGAATTGACTGGCAGAAGTTAGAATTCATGGGCTGGCCATTGGATCAGTCGTGTCCCAGTGGCTTAATAGTCTACGAGTTAGCTCGCCTTGTAACCAGAAGGTGCTGGGTTTGAACCGTGTGGGGTGGATGCGTACTGCTGAAGAGTCTCAAACTAGGTTTTCCTATGGTTCTCTAACTAATGTCAGCTCATGATGAAATCCTGTTACCAATCAAATCCCTACAAACCAACACTTAAATTATAAATTTTACTCTATTCCTTCATGCTCCGAGTGTAGTTTCAGTAACAAACAGTAGTGGCTTTTTTGTTTTTTACAGGGTAAGGTTGCTAACCCCACATCCCACCTTTCCTCTCTCTATCGGTCGTATTAACGGCCTACTGTGAGTTATGAGGAATGCAGAAGGATTGAGTGAAGAAATATCTACTTTTCAGTTGGATCCTCATCTCTGACTCTTGTCTAATTTATATATGTAGCATTTTTATTACAATACGCAACAATTTATCAATCAAGTGATGAGATGTATAATTTTAGATTAAAAAAATGAAGAGTAATTAAGGAATAGTCGTGTGCATAGGTTGATTACTTAACGGATTATTAAAGGAAAATAAAACGATTGAGATAATGATAACATGCGTAATCAAAGATGAAGTAGTCAGAAAAAATAATAAAATAATTTGGATAATTATAATTTATAAAGGTTTAGGGGAATGGGGGCGCGAGGTGGTCCGGTTTATGCATTCATTCATGTAACAATGGCCAAGGTAAGGAGAGTGGCTGTACAAATTTTTTTTCTGAACATACAGGTTTGGCTTCTTCAGGTGGATTCCTATTGCTTCAGCTGTAGGTATGTGGAAGGCGAACTCGTAAAGCGAAATTAAGGTTTATTAGGAACGCGATAAATAATTTTAAATTAACGTCAACCGTATGCTCACTATCTAAAAGGTGGGCTAAAATAGAGCTACAAATAGATCTTGTGTGTCCTTTGTTTCGACCATGCTGGATGATGTTCGGAAATGCATTGGTGCTCGGGGATCGAGCCCTGGACCACGTGTATTGGGTTGGTGAGCTTTTTACCGCTGAACTACCGACACAAGTGAGAGTATATGCAAGTAAGATAATGAGAATAGAATTTATTCAGTATTATTATTATTATTATCCTATGCTGTATGCTTATTGTTTCTCGCCATTCTAATCATTTGCATCTTCGTGTCTTCCGTTTCTTTAAATTTCTCTTTCTATACAATTTCATAAAAAGGTTTTTCAAAAGTGTGATTTGTAAGGATTAGATGTGTTTTTACGAGTTTGACTACGCACTGATTGATAGCAATTAGAGAACTATTTAAAAACCTGGGAAGGGGGTACTAGACAGCCAACTGTTTCATCCTAGTTTGCGAATTATGGTCAGTACGCACCCATCACAGGAAGTTCGAACCCAAGACCTTCCGGTTACAAGACAAGCTGGTTTGTATACCATTCAGCCACTGGTACTCAATTCAATGGCCAGTCCATGAATTTTAACTTCTACCAATTCGTGATTTAGCGCAATTAGCAACCAATGTCATCCATTGAGACATCCATCTGCATACTTGACTGGATGGATCTCCACTGGTCATTACTTCTCAACAGAACTCCAGAAAGCTCCGTCTGTGTAGCGAATCTCTAGCGTACTGCTAATCATTCCCAAACTAGGATGAAACAGCTGGCTGTCCAGTACTCCCAGGTGGTTTTCAATGGTATCAATCAATCAGTATCAATCCATGATCAAATCATAAAAATAAAACGTTTCGTTTCTTTTTGTTTTTCTTTTAGACGATGTTTGGTACGCTGGTATTTTTAATTTCAGTTTATTTCTTCGAATATCTAATCAATCAGGCTTTTGTAAGTGGTTTCATTTTCATTCCTGAATTATCATTCTCATTATTCATTCTGTAAATCCCTAGTGAAAGAGAGAGGAGGGTTCCAGCAACTCACCTCTATTCCGTTCGGTACCCTACCATCACTTTCTACTGGCTCTATGACTACCCGTCACTTTTCATATCTCCCTTTTCAAAGGATTTTCTCTGTGTCATTCTAGGAAACTCCTGACTGACAACTCCTACCTTGCCGTGATAATCGGGCTTGAATATCGCAGTGACTCAACAGCTGTCTGGCAATCATGTCCCTGCAGGTCCTACCATGTCAGGAAGGTTGTTTGGATAGCGGTTAGACTAAAAGCAGTTACCATGGAATACATGGGCCCCAGTATCCAATCGGATCAAATGGCGTATGAACCCATATGGGTCACCGGAAACGGTCATGGGAATGCAGCTCCTGACGCTGCTCCGCTGTCTTGTGGATTAGACTTCAAGTCAAAAGCTCGGGAGGGGTGGTACTTTAAGAAAACCACCTGCTTCGGTTTGGCCGCCCGAGTAGTATCTCAACCCTCACACAACAAATGTAGTGTGGCGCATCTTTCTTGGTGCCATATTGTACCAAGTTTTTTATGCGTTTAAGTAAATAAATGACTAAATGATACTCTAGGAAACTAAATCTGTTGCTGCTTATTTTCGAGTTCCACACTCGGTAGCCTGCTTAGCATATGATGTCGGTTGAATGTCTCTCTCTCTCTCTTCAGCGTTTATGTCCAGTCCATCTCTATTTCCTTCTGCAGAGATGTGTTGGAGAATATAGATTATCTACTTACTGCCATATTTTCTTATCTCTTATCCTTCTTGGTGGGCCATCTGATCTCCAGTATGGAAAGAAAGAAGGCAGCATCTTTTCAACTACAGGCGGTGGGGGGGATGGACGATTGAAGATGTCGAATGGAGGAGAATGGGAAAAGTAGAGTGGGAACCTGCTACATTCAGTGTAAGGAACAACAAAATTCCAATTTTCGATACTAATACTTTAAGACTGTGCTTCTATGTATGCTCCATAGATTTCTCTCTAGCGTAATGTTGTAAAGGCTACTTCAGCATTTTTTATCAACACCTGTCTTGGCCAGCTCCAGACTGAAGTTTAGGTGTCTCGCCAGAAAGAATTAACAACAGCGGTCAATCAACTAAAAGCCTATCGCTCAATAAATATACAGAAGGGAGTGGAGGTGGATTTGGATACGCGCACCGAGGAGACGGTTGAGTGATACCACGTGCCAGACAGGCTTTCGTATGGGGAACGAATTGTGCACGGGTTCTAGGGTGACATGAAGGAGATCATGCAAGGAGGAGCAGGAGGAGCGCCACATATTTATGATGAATTAATAATTATTATTTATTTCATTTTGACTTGGAATCTGTCAATCTGATGTAAACCTGTCTATATTGAAGTTTGTGACAGTTTGATCATGCTGAAACTGGAGACTTGACATCTACCAGTTTATAGAAATAGCTTCACTGTGATTTACTGCTTGTTGGTTACTGATGCTGGTTTTGATTTCTAATACAGCAGCATTTGTGTCGGTGATCCAACAAGCTACACTGGCTGGAACGATTGTTCCTGCACGTCCTACCATGCCAAGAAGACTGTTAGGATAGCGAGTCGACTAAAAGCAGTTACCGGCATCGTGTAAGAATCTCTCTTATACTATCCTGGGGGTCTGTGGTCGAAGTCGTACTGCTGGGGAACACAGATGTAACATCAGTGAGGTGTTTCTCTCAGATGACCAGCACGCCAACTAGTTATGTTGTCTCTCCACTCTGGAGAGAAGGGTTTAGAAAAGGTTGACTACAAAAATTGTACATCCCGGCTTACCACCTTACGGTGGTCCGTAACCGGCGATACGTTTACTAATACGGAACTGATTCAAAAAAACCGGTTCATACAGACCGTGTGTGACCGGCCTGAAGCAGTTGTCCCCTGGGCTCTCGGGTCACACAACATTAACCCTCTTTCTGTTTCAGGTACTCGAAGAATCAACCAACACTTACGGTGTAGTCAGCCGGGAAGTAAAAACTGCCCACATACACTTCCGAAGGCATACGAAGCCTTCCTGAGCATCATTCCCTTTTACTCAGACTGACAGAAGACGTTGCATTGCAACCAGAAGGTTCTAGATTCAAACCTCACTGGCTGAGTACTGTGGGTTAGCATCAAGCTAGGATGAAACAGCTGTACTCCAGTACTTTGGTTTTCTAGTGGTTCTCTGACTTCTTTCAGCCCATGATCAAACCTGTAATTAGTCGAATCCATGCAAGCCAATATTTGGTGTAAAGTTAAGAATAGTTATTATTACAAGGAGTAGAAATGTCATATTACTTCGGAGGGAAGGAGAAAAGTAATCTAGTTAAGAAACATGAGAATTATATATCCGATGTTATAACAGATTAGATTCGTAGTATGCTGAGTAGTGACTGAACAAATTTCTATATGCCGAAAATTGACCATATATATACATGCGATTGTAAAGCTTGAAAATGATATTGCTGAGAAAAGAGTATATCTTTTTGATTGGTCACTAGTGAATAACTAGTGTGACGTGTCTAGTTCTTTCTTTGGTGCGAAATTAATTCTACCAGTCAGGTTTACAATGTGACCACCATATCACTGGGTAGCTCACCATCGCGGTGTACATTGATTTGATGATATTAGATGGTTGGAGGCAATCGGCAGGAATCCTCCCACCTAGGTTTCGTGCAGCTTGATGCCACACCGTATTTTCAGTACAAGTCTGAAATTTTCAGCATGTGATATCGGTAGGCCAAATTTTGCAGGCCGACCATAAATATCAGGTGTGCGTCGTCAGGGGATCGAACCCCGGACCATGTTCATGGTCGGTGAGAGTCCTAACCACTGTGCCACCGATGCACAGTCAGCAAGGTGTATCTGCAACAAGGTTGAAGGAACTCATGTCCCTTCTGAAATTCGAACTCGTGTCATCCTGTACCGCCTTTTAGTTAGAGACGTTACTACTGAACTATTCGGGCTCGGGATTGACCTCCTGTCGGACAGTAGTGGGTATTTTGATAAGACACTAGTAACTACTGTGATGTGTCTAGTCCTTTGCTGAATCTTAAATTCGGCCAGTTCACGGTAAATATTGACATCGCTGGCCATTTTCATCGGCAAGTGTTTGTCATAGCACCCAGGTCGCTCACAACTTCTTATTAGAACTTTAAGAAATCCATCCACTTATGTTTCATTATGATTCATTCACTGTTTTTTTATCCTTTTGCATTCCAAGTGGGGAACTTGGGGCCTCAAGATTCAGTAGCGATGGTGTTTTCTAACAGGGCGAGGTTGCTAGCCCCATTTCCAACCTTCCTTCTTTGTTGGACTTGCTACCGTCTAGGTGGGAGGGTAGAGGTGTGCATCGGCCAGGAATCGAAACCTGGACCACATGCTACGTTGACGAACATTCTATCACTGAACGACTGACGCACAGAAGCGTATCTTGGAAGGGACACCTAGTTCATATATCTCTTTATATATTTAACAAAAGATACGTATATGTTACACTATGCAGAGAAACAGAGTATTCAGTCGATGAATTGTTCTGCCAAATCTTATGAATTGACTAATTATTTAGTGTTGCTTTGCAGAGATTTCATTGCTTACAGAATTTATCACGTTTTGATATCAGTTGGAGAACCACTGGAACTCCTGGGAGTGCTAGGTGGCTATTTCATTCTAGTTTGGGACTCATCGGAAGTACACACACACACCAGGATTCGAACTTAAGACCTTCCGGTTACGAGGGGAGCTCATAGACCATTAGGCCACCGAGACTTTTGACAATTCGTGATACATATTTAGTGCAACCGCTGTAACAACAGAAGACAAGGGCCAGGCAACAGATCGTTTTATTATGAAAATCAACACGTATTTATACATATTTCACATACATTGTTATAGCTTGTGCAAGTAGACAAGCGCAGTTATCTGATTGGTTGTTTATCAGAAGTTAGGCAGACAAACGCAGGCTTCTGATTGGTTGTTTCGGGATTCCTCGACAAATAGAGTTCTCTATCTGCGAATCATATTTTGCCACGTTAACTTTGCTGTGATTGGTTGTTGAATCAGCCTTGCTCATATTTTCTCACGGCCTGCTCTCACCACACCGCCTGCCAATATCACGGGCAAGTAATTGTGCTCTTGCCTAACTTAGTGGACACCTCTGGGTTCGAACCCGCCACCCGGAAACGGCTGTCTAGTACTCCCAGGTTTTCAAATGCTTTCAGGTCGTGATTTGTCCTGTAATTCATGAATTCTCAACTTCAATAATTTCCATTTTTTGCTTATTTTAAAACTGAAACTGTTTAAAAAAAAATAAACATTTCCTTTTTTCTATAATTTTTAGTTTGAATTAATGTACTTTCCAAATTCCAATCTAACTGCACCAGAACAATACAGATGGTAAGTGTTAATTTTTTGTCATTATTTTGTCATTTTTTAAAATCCAAATTATGTTTGAATAAAATGAATTTTTAATAATAAATTAAGAGTGAATAGAAATGAAAATCTCCGTAATATTTTCTTGCTCAATGTTGTTTAGTTGATGTCGACCACCAGTGGGATCTGTGACTCCTGTTTTGTCTTAATTAGGGTTCTTCAGCTTGATATGCCGCCTCCTCCCCTCGTGGGTGAGTAATACTGTCCCTATCGATAGCTGTGTAGAGAAATGGCACATTACTCCAAGAAACTTGGCTTTGAACTAGTGGGTTCCTTGTCTGAGTCCCATTTCACTCACTTCAGCCTTGGTAGCTGAGTAAGACCATCACACGTTATACAATAAGTGTGGCTCATAGATAGTAGTAGTATCATATTCGTTGGAGTCGAACCTTACAACATTTGCTTCAAATGTCAAGGTGTTCTTCACTAGGTTACTGAGAATAGTAGGCACTTGAATAGTTGCGACACAAGATGAAACTCTATACAGTTCTACTCTCAATAAAAGCTTCAGTCATTGGTTCTTAGAATCCCGTAGACCCCAACCAGTCAATCCACACCTTCCTATATGACTCAAATTAACTATTAAAGGTTTCATGGAATGATTCCATGTCTTCGTTTGACCACCACTAGCTCTTTTCTAGCCCGATCCTATGTTAGATAACATTGCCTGTCAAGGAAGGCGATGTCTAGGTATGTGTAACACATGTCTCAATCATCTCAATCGATGTAGCTTCACTATCTCATCTAGTGAATTCGCCTACTCACCTGACACTCGACGCCTAACCTCAATATTACTCATCCTATCATATTACCTAACAGGAGAGACAGGACTGCTACACCTATGATCAACGACAGGTAGACTTTTGATGTCTTCCACTTCCAATGGCCATGTTTCGTTCACAGCCATAAAGGAGGACAGATTAAACTGTCGTGTAATACACACGTCCTTTGATCGATTACCAGCCGGATATCACTTGTACGTCAGAGATAAGTAGGCTACTATATGCCAAACGAGCCTTCTGTATCTATGTTGAGATTTCGTCTGCGATCAACCCGCTGGTGCTGATCCCCAACTTCAGAAGTAAGTAAAGTGATCAACATGCTCTACTACTTCATTCTTGCTTATCTTTAAGCTATGAGTCGATGTAGTCCAGTCCTGTGGCCTAATCGTCTTACATTTGACAGGAGCAGATCGCTGAGTGTGCTCAGAAAACTACTTTTCTAAGTCAACAATATTATTCCCTAGTGAAAATTTAATTGCTAAATCGCTGAAGTCAGTTAGAGTTCATTCCGTTACTACATCTATTATGAAATTAAACAGAAATAGAGATAGTGGACATACCGGACGGACACGACTAGTTTTCATCACTTCAGATGACAACCCTCTGTAGGCTCTTACCTGACAGGCTTCGTGAGTTCGAGTAGAATGCCTTGATTAGTGCGATGTACTCTATTGACACTTCCCTCACAGCCAAACATTGCCATACTAGCTCTCAGTCGATGGAGTTGAAGTTGTTGGACTCTGGTAATAAGTAAACCTATATTCCAAAATCTGTCAAAAAGTGAAAATATGATCATTGGAAAGTGATAACAGAGAATATAGCGGAACAGGAATGTATCCTAGATATCTCAGTCGACGATACTTCATCCCCGCCTCTTCTATTGGTTATCCCTCTCTATCTAACACTGCATCTTCCCCTCTCTAATATAGATCCCAGCATTAGGAAACTATGCAATTCACGTGTTTTTCCACATTCCTATTTCATTTTTATATTCATTTCAGAAATATATATATATATATATATATATATATATGTGATACAGAGTCTTCTGATCACCTTGAGCAGCAATGCGCTTAGCCCCTGTAAAATGTAAGATGCTGCTACAGGACTGTACTACGTCAACTCCTAGCTTAGTGATAGGGAGTGAAGTGATAGAACATGTTGACCACTTCACCTATTTGGGAAGTTGTTGTATCAGCACCAACGGACTCATTGGCGACGAAATTTCAGCACGGATCCAAAAAGCTCGAGCTACTTTCGCTAACTTACACCATATCTGGCGTAGGCGGGACGTGTGCACTGCTCAGCAAATCGCTCTGTCCTTCTCTATGGCTCTGAAACATGGCCAATACGAGTTGAAGACATGAAAAGGTTAACTGCTTTCGATCATAGATGTCTACGATCTCTTTCTCAAGTTAGGTGGTATAATAAGGCAAGTAATGTTGACGTCAGACGTAGAGTGTTGGGCAAAGAGGGAAAATCAATCGACGAGGCTATAAAGTTACATAGATTGAGATGGCTAGGTCACGTGCTGCACATGCCTAACCATCGCCTCCCCCGACGGTCATTACAAGCTGATATAGGTGCAGGTTGGAAAAGAGTAAGTGGTGGCCAAACAAAAACATGGCATCAATCCATGAAATCCTTGACAGTTAAACTGAGTCAGGTAGGGAGAAGCAGACTTCCTGACTGGTTGGGGTCCTCGGGAGTCTAAGAATCAATGGCTGGAGACAATAGGTGACATGGTTCAAAATCGTTGTCAATGGCCAGCGCAGATGTATTCAGTCTCTGTAATCTTTCATATTTCTTTCTACCATTACCCATTCTGTTCCACTCTTATACTTGTTAAACTCTACTGATTCTCTTCACTCATCTTCTTGTCTACCTTTGTGTGCTATTTGGAAGGTGCGAACTTGAACTGGTGCACTTCGGTGACAAGTTCTATGTTGAATCCAGACAGACAGATAGACAGACAGACAGATATATGTGATGTATGCTTACTTTGAATATTATGTAGTTATTTTAAAAAATCCCATATTCCTTCATAGTTAATTAAATTCATTCTCATTTTGAAAACAATTTCTACTTTACTTCTAACGGTGAATGGCTTTTTCCATCCTCACATAAAGAAAAAAAAATCAGGGAACTGAGTGAATGTCTAATATAAATTCCTCCAATGAGACGTCATTTGAAATGTTGACTGTATTGTATTCATGAATGAAGTTTAATAATAACAAACAGCTAGACATATTTTATGGCTTATCAAACAAGTAAGACTGCAAAATTTCATTCCCAGATGAATAATGGTTATTTATTTATTTTTCTTCTTTTTTTTACATGCCATTAGAGTAGTAGTAGTAGTAGTAGTTTGAGCAGTTTTCCTTTTTTATTTGTTTTGTATACCCAAGACGTATTTTTTCTTGAAAGCTTCTATCAGCTTGAAATCTTTATGGGTTGTTGTATATTTTATGATAAGGCGTTAAAATTTGGATGGTGGTGAGCTGGGGTTGGAGGTGGTTGGTAGTCTTTTCTGTCCTTAGAGTATTCATTTTTTCTTCTTCTTCTTCTAATTATTATTCTTGTTTATGAAATGTATATTTTTAAAAAACGGATTAGAACTACCATTATTTCATTATTATTCCCATGGGTTCCGGTTGGAAAATAAGCCCTAAGCATCACGTCTTCATTTTATCCTGTAGTCTATAATCGTCTTTAGTCAACTCTTATCTCCTTTTCAAACGATCTCCTCTATGTGTCACTCTCAGCTACTTAACTCGTTATTCACCTATTCGGGTATCACTCAACGGTCACTTCAGTGTATATCCAGTCCATTTTTTATTTTATTTTCTGTAAATTGTTGGTTGGTTCGTTGCAATAGGACAATCTCAAGAGAATCCTTGTCGAGAATTGTTATCCAAAAAGATTCATTGCAAAATCTATGAATCCTAGACCACAAAAGCCGCCAATGCTTAGCGTCCCGAAAAAACTACTCTACATAAACCTTCAATTCAATGGAGATATATCTCCGGAAACACTAAAAAATCGACTGTTGCGCTCACTTAAGAAGACGTTCTTCGCATCTGAACTACGACTAACCTTAATTGGTGGATGGTGACTAGCAGTGGAATCCAGGATGCGCCATTCGTCCTATTTGGGACTTGTCAGCTGGATGTACCTGCATTTCTCATTGAGTGATGACGTTCCCACCGAGGCTCGAACCCAGTACCCATAGTTTCAAACGCCAAAGTGTTATCCACTAGACCACTTGGGCCACGAGAGCCACCTCTTGTGCAACGGGTCGTATAATTATTTAATTGAATTTTCGATTTAGAAGCATCTGCACAAGAAGCCGACATGTCAGCCTGAGGCCGAAAAATTCGGTCCAATCGATCGACGGGAAAATCAAAAATTCAATTCAATACGACTAACCTTCTCTACAAAACCTATGATTCATGTTAACGTGAAGGATAAGCTACCACTGCTGGTCTCATCAATGTGTATTTATCAATTCACCTGCTCGTGGGGAGCCAGGTATATCGGCCGTACCCAGCGTTCGCTTTCCAAACGTATCTCCAAACACTTACCAGCATGCATGGTTTTACAAAGGAGAAAAATGATGCTCCCGCAGCTGCATCGTAGAACATCTGATAGAATCCGAACACCAAGCTACTCCCCAAACAAACTTCAAAGTTGTCTACAGAGTAAAAAGTAGTCTTCTTAAAGGTGTACGAATCAGACGTCTTCGAACTACAGAAGCAATGGTGACTCACTTGCTAAGTCCTGAACTCTGCATACAGAAGTTCGTTCAATCACTACACTTACAATGGACATAATCTATCTTATTACCCGACAAGTAAATTCTACCTAATCTTTTTTTGTCTGAGTCTTCATTAGTATTAGTTTGTCATCTCAATTGTAATATTTCACATTTTCAACTTTCTTGTTCCCTAACCGCACCCGATTTAATTCCTACACTTCATGACCACTGTTACTGAATTGACCAACGCTCAATTTCTAGTCAGTTATGTTACGTCATCCAACCTATTTGCTCAATTTCAGTTCTAACTTAAATGGCATTATTATCTACCCCACTTCTACTAAGTTCCTCTCTACTTGTAATTACTTTTGTTGCTACCTTGACCTAAGTTGAAACATTTTAGTCAATTATATTACGTCATCTAA